CATCACCCCAGAAGACTAAGATGCAATGTCTCGATTCAAGTAAAAAGGGTCTCCGGTTTTCTACACTCACCATACGAAACACAGCAGCATCACGCTGCTCTTTTACGCTGGTATTCTGTGAGAGCGTGGTCCTGCCTCTGACCCATTATTGCTACAACTATAACATAGCTGCAGCGTGCCCCTACTACGTTTTAATTTATTTATTATCATTTAATTAATCTGATGTCCCGTAAACACAACATTTTAAACCATTTCTGGACTGCTTCCGAAGTCACTCCAAACTAGAAGCAAAACCAAGGAAGCCTGGCCCGATGAGGCCTGCCATATTTATTTTAGCGTCAGAGGCCTTTCAATTTAATAAAAGATAATATTAAAATAAACCGCATCACGTGATGCTGTCATCTCCTTTAGTATTTCTAGTTGATTAAATGGCACTAACTATAATGATTTAACGTAAATGAACAAAGAAAGCATTATAGTTATATATATTATAGGCTATGCAAAAAAACGCATATCATACGAGGGTGGATTGAAAAGTACTCGGCCTAACACAGATCCATTCAATTCTAAAAATCAAATCTACCCACATTATTTAGTTCAGTTCAGACTAGTTCATTGTGTGAAGTTCGAAACGTGTGCGATAATTAGTTGTGATTTTATAAATTTATTAACAAAGTAATCGGACATAATTTCCGCGAATGGAGCAAATCGAGCAGCGTGCCGTCATTAAGTACCTCCATAAGAAGGGGCTATCATCAAAAGCCATCCATGATGACATGGTCAGTACATTAGGCGATTGTGCTCTGTCATATTCATCCGTCAAAAAATGGATAGCAGAATTTAAGCGTAGTAGAGAGAGTGTGAAAGATGAACCCCACTCTGGAAGGCCTTCGACGTCAACTACTGACGAAAATATTAAAAAAGTACTTGATTTAATAATGGGAGACCGCAGATTAAAAATTAGAGAGATAGCCGAGATTATAGGCATCTCTTATGAACGAACTCAAACCATCATTGTCAACGAGTTGGGTTTCCACAAGGTGTCTGCGAGGTGGGTTCCGCGACTGCTTTCGGTTGAACAAAAAAGGACGCGATTGACTATTTCACGCGACTGTTTGGAGTTATTTGAAGCCGATGCAGATGATTTTTTGAATCGTTTTGTTACTATGGACGAAACATGGGTTCATTACCGTACACCGGAAACAAAACAACAATCAAAACAGTGGAGTAGACCTGGTTCACCACCCCTAAAAAGGCTAAGTCGATTTTGTCGGCAACTAACGTGATGGCTTCAGTATTCTGGGACTCGAAAGGTGTGATTATGATTGATTATCTTGAAAGGGGTCAGACTATAAACTCTGATTACTACTGCACCCTACTACGTCGTTTACGAGAGGAAATAAAAGAAAAACGTCGAGGAATGCTCAGAAGAAAAGTCCTGTTTCATCAAGATAACGCCCGTGTTCACACGTCAGTACAGTCAATGGCTGAAATTCACAACTGTGGCTTTGAACTGTTACCGCATCCGCCGTATTCACCTGATCTGGCACCATCAGACTTCTTTCTGTTCCCTAACCTAAAAAAGCACTTGGGAGGTCAAAGATTTTCGACAAACGACGAGGTCAAAGCAGCTGTAGACGCATATTTTGACTCTAAGGAAGAATCATTTTTTTTCAACGGTCTAAATGCTTGGAAGGGGAGGTGGCAAAAGTGTATTGAACTTGATGGTGATTATGTAGAAAAATAAAAATATAACTGATTTAGTATGTGTTTATTTTCTTGGTTAGGCCGAGTACTTTTCAATCCACCCTCGTATTTAAATATTTTTATACGTGGTAGAGCGAATGGGTCGGCTCGACCGGGGAGGGACCACGCCCTCACGGAATACCAGCGTAAAATAGTAGCTTAATGTTATTGTCTTCGTATGGTGAGTGTAGAGATCTGGAGACTCTTTTTTACTGGAAATGAGGCTTTCCATCTTAGTCCTCAGGGGTGACAGCGCATCTGTATTTTGATAAGAATCATTGAGGATGAATGTGGATGTCTATGGGCCACAGCATCCATTTACCATCAGATGTACTGTATGCTCGTTTGACACCCTTGTCCTATAAAAAATAATCTAAAACAAATCGACTACGTTGATAGACCTGTCATCTCAAGAATTTAACTCTTGCGGTAGCGGTGTCGATGAATTCGGTCTTCAAGAATTTTTGTTTATAATATGACAGATTGACCCGGTATTGTATTTCAAGCAATGGTTATCTAGGTTAGATGTAAAATAATATCCCTAAAAAAGCCTTAAATAATTTGAAAGAAGCTGGCGAGAGCTCTGACGATATGACTTTGATACTTGAAAGAGACGTGTGAGCAAGTGCGAAGACATTTTGGTGGCCTCTCATCTCAAGAGTAGCTCATGGTCATCGGAGAGACGTCAGTGGTGCCTGAACTAAATAAATAGCCCAAAATACGAGTCCCTGAGAGATGTCAATAAAGTGTAATTTGCTATATAGAATATGGGTCAGTGTGTTCTACATATTCACAAGTGGGCTGTTTTTTCGCCCCAAAACTAAGTAAAGTTATACTGCGGAGAAATGCAGGTAGCTTTCTATTTTTCTGCGTTATTGATTTTATACAACGTTCTATATAGCTGTATGATATCATTAGTTTTTAGTTTTTTATTGGTTTAGTAAATGTTATACTAAATTTTTCACTGTTTTCTCTCTTAAAACAGCCAATCAAAACAATGTCTACTGTTGAATAAAGGCCTTTTAAAAAATATAATAAAACTAATTTTTGGCGCCTTTTTCATAATACATAATAGTAAAAAATAAAGTTATCAAACGCAGACATTCGTATAAAATTCATTTGTATTATTAATTTATGAAAAAAATTCCCGTTTATATTCGCCTATTTACCAACTTGCAACGTACTTGTGAGACCTTAGGAATTTCTAACTCTATTAGCATCCATTGACAATTCAAAAAGAGGTCGTCGCCTCGTTTGATAAAGCCGATGGCATCTTCTCGCATCCTGTCTAACAATTGATGCGTATGCGAACACGTGTGCACAAACAAACAAACGCACTAGTGGGCGTGCAGAATTATGTTTAGCTATTTTGAAACTTGAGTTAGTAGTAATACAGTATAATATTGCACTAGTTGTCAACTTTGTCGAAATAATATCTTTTACAGAAGTTGTCTAGTTTTATGTAATTATCAATTTTAATATTTTGAAATTAAATAATTATTTTCGTAAGATAAAATATTGAATTCTATTAACCATTTCTCTTCTATTGTTTGAATGGTTAAGGAAAGAATAACAAAACAAATATACGTTGCAGAAGCGAATGGAAGAGTTGGAAAGGGAAGTCCTAGGCGTAAGTTTATCGACCAAATTGGCGATATATTGAAAATAGGCCAAATTAAGAGTATCTTACCTTTAACCGACGAGCATGTATGCGAGGCGAGAGAGGTATGTTAGGATCGTGCTAAATGGAAGTCTGTGGGCTCTGCCTACCCTCTGAATGACAGGCGTGAGTGTTTATGTATGTATATTTAAAATAGTATGTATCGTCTGTTTAATTAATATATTGTGATAAATTACAATATAAGAATTTAATTCCAAGGACGAAGGACAGCGCAGTTGTTAAGGTTACAGCTGCAGGGCACGGAGTACGAATCCTGAACACATTAAAGTTTTTAGAGCCTACAATAATAGTTCCGTATCTGGTCTCCTCATCTGCAATTTATGTCAGTACCCGCTACACGATAGAAGAGAAATTCCAAGTGTAAAGTTTTTTAAGAAAATAAAAATTAAGTACAAAAATACATCTACACACTTTTCCTTTTCTATGATGAAAATTGACACACCATACCTATGCCTTTACCTACAGTGACTGTAAAGTAGAATTTTCCACGTATCTATGGTAAAAATTCGCACACCGTACCTGTACGTATACCTAATTTGACTACAGTAGACTTTTCTATGTTTCTATACCTGTGCCTGTACCTACCATAACTATAGGTGTCTCTAATGATCTATGTTTCTACAGATTATATATTGCTAATTCAAACATTAACAACAACAGACATCTCCATTCGTGAACAGGCGACGCTCGCCAGGGTCAACTAACTAAGCAGGATGGGGAGCGCAAAGAGGGCATCGGAATTAATTGTTCACTAGCGTGTGATAGCAGTTATTTCGTAACATTTATAACTGCCACATACTCTATTCGGGTTACTGCGTCATAGGACCAATCTTGGCTTGCTTAAAAGCGCTCGTAAGGGCTCGAAACCTTGATACGCACTGATAGACCCTTTTTACTAGAAACGAGCCATTCTATCTTAGTCTCCAATGATAAAAATTAACCATGCATTTGCATTTTCATTCTTAATTTAGCAAAGATATTAATATTTAATGCACAACCATCCGTTTAGTTAAATACAATGATGTGTCTTACCTGGATTGAAGAGCACCCCCCGCCCTCCCTCAATTGCGTGCACTAATCCCGTCACCACTAGTCCCAGCACCACTAGTCCCAGCACCACTACTCCCGCCACCACTACTCCCAACACCACTATTCCAAGAAAGAACCACCATCGAAGACAATGTGAGTACGACACGTGTAGAGGCGATCTCTACACGAGGCATCTTCAGGTGATGTAGACTCTACGGCGGCTGACCGCCAGGAGTCTTAGTCTTAGCCTTAGTCTATCAATTTTCTTAATAAAGTCTATGGATCGGCATCCTCCTACCATCAGGTGGACTGTGTGCTCGTTTGTCACCTTATTTCTGTAAAAGGAAATACGGGAATCGAACACCTTTCTCGCATAGGGACTGTAAAATTGATGGCAAGGGATTAGCCACTGGACTATCTCGACTCTTCAATTATTTATATTTATTTTTATTTTTTATAGCACTTGACAGTTTCAAAGCAACGGCAAGTCGGTACACCACAAAGTACCAATATGGACAGGAAGAAGTTCGAGTGAGGTTGAAAAATGCAAGTGCCATTCGTCTCGTTACGAACTATTAAGACTCAGTTATGGTGTGTGGTGATTGTTGTGGTAGTGGCGATGGTGGCAGAGGTGGCGAGTCTCAATGGACCCAACGTGTGTATGGTGAAGCAGAAGTAAGTGTTCCTTCACTTCTGAATATCTAAAAAAAAACTTAAAATCTGTTAATTATTGTCTTCACTTCTCTATCAGTCCGTTGAATTCCACTACTGGACAACACCTGTTCCGTTGTAGGGAGTACTTGTCTTATTTTACAGAATAAGGGTGACTGACAATCGAGCACACAGTCCACGTGATGCTAAGTGGATGCTGTAGCCCATGGATGAAAATACAGATGCGTTGTCACCCTTGAGGACCAAGATAGAATGCCTCATTTCTAGTAAAAGGATTTGTGGTTCTCTAAACTTACCATATGAAACACAGCAGCATTTTACGCTGGTATTCTGTGAAAGCGTTTTTTTTTTTGTCGACCCATTCGCTGCAACCATAATATACCTCCACTTCCATTTCTCCCTTCCCTACACTGCTAATAGGCTTTTGTTAAGCTAAGAGAGTGCGATTGGCCATTTAGGGCTACGTCACCACATACCACCTGGTAGAATTGTGGTCAAGCACTGATTTATATGTAAAAATAACTCACTAAGAGACCATTTCAAAATATTAATGTTTTTTACTGTTGCATCACATTTAATTATTAGCGACATACTTTTGACAGATAAAGTGATCTCAATAATTTAAAAAAAGCTTTTGAAAACTAGCAAATGACTTTGGGTAAATTTGACGACGTCACACATGTCGCCCCTCATTAGAAAAAGTGGTTTGAGGTTTAAGACAAGGTAGTATAAGCAGGTTCCTCCCCCGCGGCCTCCACTCGAAGTGGCGGATTTAATATAGTATAGATTATTTGGCCATATATTTTCAGATACAACATAACAAAACGAGTCAAATACCGCGCTCCGATGTCAGTGCGGACATACGAATGGTGCTTCTCCATGCCTCCGAGGTGTTCGCGATGGAACACCGAGATGAGGGAACTTACCAGACTGGAGGTAAATTATATTATTATTCAGATTTTTAGATTTAAAAGACAATAAGAAGTGTTTTTATCTTGTGAAAATTGATTTAATATTCAAGGATCTATACACCGTAACCATCCTTCTAAATTTGTTAATAAAAAAATCACTTAGCAGGTAAGTTGAAAAATATAAATATAAATGCGTTGTAGATCTAATAATATATTAGATAATTAGACCGCCGGCGCCATTACATAAAATTTCATAATCCGCAGATCCTAACAAAAGAATACCGATTCCTGCCAATTTCATGATATACTAGGCTCATTTTGCGTAAATCAGACTATTACGACAATTTCAAAACGTAAAGGAGTGAGTTAAGCTAAGATCTCATGGAATTATATTCATCCGCGATACATTTAGTATATGAGTAAATGTAGGTAGTGACTATAGTGATACGAACTCCCAGCAATTCGATACTATAACGGACAAGATAAGACTCACCAGAAGAAACCAATAGGGTGATTAGCGCCCTATCGACTCACGACTTCAGCAGTCGAAGAATGCTCCCGTGACCTTAGAATGATGATGATGAGAAACCGATTGATCGGTATAAAAAGCTTCCGGCAGATATTCGATAATTGATTAGAGGGAAGAACATCGCGCTAAAATCCTACGAGCGGTATCGCACGAAAAATAAAAAAATTCGGCTACGTTCTCTACAAAACAGTTTTAAAAAACGCATAGCCGATCTTAGAAACGATAAATGGAGCAATCTTTTAGAAGGAATATAACCATCTCAATACGCCTTCTGGCGGCTAACTAGAGCTCTAAAAACAGAGCAATCACGTCCCATGTTGCTCTCATATGAGACCAAACCACCTTGATCTTGTCTTCCACGATTTAGTAAAAGCCGAATGCCTAGCCGACAGTTCAGAGAGGCAGTGAACTCCATCCAGTGTATCAACAGATCTCGCTCACCTACTACGGAGGTAGAAGTGGTTGTCGAACGTAGGTCTGCTATAGCACCAGCGGGCTAACATTTTGATCATATAACTGTAGACGAAGTTACAGAAAACAGCCTTAAGAATAGATCAGCCCCTGGGCCAAACGGCATCAGCAACAATCAATTCTCTTCCGGTACCATTAATTTACCTCCTCTAAGGAACTTTTAACGCGCTTCTTACGAGCCCCTCTTTCCCGGATATCTGGAAAGAAGCAGACGTAATAGGGATCCCAAAACCGGGGAAACGACGCAAACGACCATCTTGCTACAGGGCAACGGTATACTCAGCGCGTTCCCGCACACACCTCGTACACACCGTACACACGATTCTATACCTATCAATTTTGTAAACGCGTCCTTAAAAATCTTGATTATGACGATGTAGAAAACATGTTATCTGGTTTATGGTAAACACACACACATACAAAAACACGCAAGCGCGCGCGCAAACATGCACACATGCGCACACCCACAAACGCAACAGTGCACACTAGCACACATGTACACACGTACACATGCACACATGCGCACAGGCACACGCATTCACACATACACATACACGTACACATACACACACGCACTCATATGCACACATACAAACACAACACACAGACGCGCGCGCGTACACATACGCACAAGCACACATACACACACGCGCAGACAACCGCAGAAACACACGCACACTGCCGCATACACACGTACTCAAAAAACACAATAGTGCGCACATGCGCACGCACACACATGCGTTCACACGAACACACATGAATGCACATACACCCACACGCACGCTCATACTCGCACGCACGCACACACATACACACACACACACACACACACACACACACACACACACAAATTCGGACTCAGACGAATTCCTTATGTCGCCGTCGCCACCACTTCCGCTACAAGAAGGGGTGTTATCGAGTTATTCGTTAATAAAATTTCGTTTATTTCAACCACAAGGATCATAGATGTTAGTAATAATACAAATCTTAAAACTAATTTTACTAATTTTAGTAAAACTTAGAACTATTTACCTAATTTTAAAACTATATTTAAGACAGGCCCGATTATTCAGCACGTGCACAATATGAAAATTGTTCAGGTACTGACTTCAAACCTGTCAGAAAATGCCCTCAGGATACCATTGGAACTGGCCCGCACCCCGCGCACCAGGGATATGCATCGTTTATGCATGGTCGTGTATAAACAATCCACACGCGCATCCGCGAACATACCCGGCGCTTTACAATAACGAGGCAGACCCAACAGCACCCTGAATGCATTATTGTATTGAACAGACATTTAATCTGTAGCTTGTACCGCCAAAGAAACGAAACGGCAACGTCGCGGCTGTATTCAGCCTATCCGATCGTTTATCTTATCGTTTGCTGTGCCTAGCAAACAGTCTCGTGAGTGCAGATGTTGATCCGGTCGGAGCCACATTAGTTACCAGAGATGCATATTGGATCAACAAAAGGCGCCGGATCAACATGCGTTTTTGGATCAACAAAGTGCTTGCGTGAAGTCGCGTCTGATCAACATTTACCGTAAATATATAACAGCTGATGTTACAAGGAGTAACTTAGGCTCCTTTTATTTATGAAAAAATAGAGTTCCGCGCAAAAAAACGCGGGCAAATTCACGGGCTACAGCTAGTTATAGAAATAATGTTGGAATACCCTGAGTATTCAGTCATCAGTTGAACTTCACGGCAAAAACGGAATCCTATATAATTCTATCTACTGTCCTCTAAACCTGTTAGATAGATGCTTTGTTCTCTTAATAATAAACAAAGTCAAATAAATATGACCGTAGATATAGAAACGATTTAAATGAAGTCGAAACCTTCGATAGTATCATTTAACTGCCCTTTCTAAATACTCAATTTTACTAACTACGGCATGCAATCTCCTTGAGAAAATCATTTGTTTCGATTGGTATTAAATCGCTGATAAATTAAAAATGGAAGTAGGTTAATAGTTACAAATAGATATAAATTATTTTAGAATTGAAAATGAAAATGCAGCGTAATGGCTAGCGTACGAAAATCTTTATACCCTCCTTTTGGCTCATGGTTATCGTATAGTAAGCGACTATTTTTTAAGGGTGACAAACAAGCACAGACAACGATGCTGTGGCCCATAGCTTAAATCTTTAATTAATAATCAAAATGCAGATTCGTTGTTCCCTTGAGGACTAAGATGGAATGCCTTATTTCCAGTAATATGGGTCTCCGGTTATCTACCCTCATCATACGAAACACACTCAATACTTATAATCTTATAAATCAGTGAAACCTACGGAGTTATAAGTACTGAGTACTTAGTACATATATATCGATATAAAAGTTGAAGGATGGTGTAGCTAAAGCATTATGGCTGTAGCACGAATGGGTCGGCTCGACCGGAGAAGAATCACGCTTGCATATAATACCTGCATAAAACAGCAGCTTCATACTGCTGTATTTCCAATGGAAACGAGGCATTCTGTTTTAGTCCTTAAGGCTGGTCCTAAGGCTTTTTCTTCCTAATCGATGTGTGACAAACGAACACACAGTTCACCTGCGGATGCTGTGGCCCAAAAACACCTACATTTATCTTCCATTAAGAATCAAATTGCAAATGAGTTGTCATCCTTAAGGAATAAGATTGAATGCCTCATTTCCAGTAACATGGGTATCCGGTTCTCCATACAGCCATACGAAATGCAACAGCATTTCATAAGTTGCTATTTTACGCTGGTATTCTGTGAGAGAGTGGTCATACCTTTATGGATCTGACACATTCTTACTAGCTACACAACCATGATATAGCTACAGCGTTGCTTTACCGCGTATACAACTTTTTAATACATCTTTTAAAATAAAATTGAAATCAAAACAAACTTATAGTTCACTTGACGGTAAGACATTCCTGCAATTCAAGGACATCTGCGACCAACTTTAAACTATGATAGCTGCAGATACGTTATACGATTCTCTAAGGACTAAGATGGCATGCCTCACAACCTATAATGGCTCTCATACCTAGACTATTTAAAAAGTCAGAAAAACTTCACAGCTTCCGATAGATAGCGGGCTACCATCTCGTATCTCGTTACAACATATCCAAATAGCTGACAAAGTCCTTCTCAAGTTATATCTTCGAAATATCATTTAACCAAAAATCTTCTTTCCACGCTTTTTCCTTCGCCGTAAAGCACGTGGTTAATCAGGAGTTAAAATTGAAAATAACAATTTCGTTGATACCGGCGGAAATTGAACGCGGGTAGATGATGAAATATGCGGTGAGCGATTAGCGCTTGCTCATCGGAGCAGCATCAAATGCAAATTAAAATTAAATTAAACATAAGCGTGACTTTCAATTAGTATTTTTTATTATGTGCGAGCAGCTATGAAGGTCTAGGAAAAGAGACCAGTATCACTGCGACCTAGAAGATCTATTGTGATCGCTGCTATAGTTCACGGCTAAACCTTATGTCTTCAATGAATAGAAGGAGTTGCTTAGCCGTGAGCAATTTCACTTCTTCTGGGCGGAGTACATAGTTTCCCAGATGAGTGTTACGTTTGCGCATTAAGGATCCGCAATCAGTTAGGACGTGTAGAGGCGTTTCTTCCGTTATGGAACAGAACCGACATATCCTTGAGTTGCTTAGTCCCAGGGTGCATGTGCTTTTTAAGACAACAGTGTCCGGTTAGGGCTCTTGCCAGAATGCGCAATTTATTTTTACTTAATCCTAGGGCTTTTTGAGCTGAGGCAAATTTACGATCAAAAGCCCGGATTAAGGTTTTAGAATAGAATGGAATAGAAGTATTATTTACAATCTATATTAAAGAAAAGTTCTGTTTCGGTGCTCACGTCTGGTGCGCGGCGATCGTCAAACGTGACAATTAAGTTATTCTTCCCCACTGGCTGATGAAAAATAAGAATGCACATAAGAAACAACCTATATGCTTACCACTGCTGGGCACAGGCATTATTTCATTTCTGAGAGAGTTTTAAAGCAGAGTCCGCTGCCGCAATGCGTGTTAGCAGAAAATGTTCTCAAAGTATTAATGTCTCTCATATTTGCTGGCTTCCTCAAGATGTTTTTTACTCACCATTCAGCTTGTCGTTAATATATTATTAAGTAGAGTTTGTTTAATATGGGTTATTATACTACTAAAGAGTATATGATTTATAATAACCCCTGGGAATGAGGTGATCTTTTCATACATAATTTTATAAAATGTTATATAGTAAGAGTGCCGTGATAGCTCAGATGGTTAACGCTCGCTGTAAATATAACAGAACGCGAGTAACCCGGGTTCGATCCCCACCGGCACCAATGAAATTGTTAATTGCAATTTTAAGTGCTGATTTACCACGTGTTCTGCGGTGAAGGAAAACATCGTGAGGAAACTTGCATGTCTGAGGAATAAGAAAAAAAATTTGGAAGACATGTGAAGTTCGCCAACACGCATTGGGGCTGCGCGGCGGACACTTCCTTTCCCTAAAACCCTCTCAGAAATGAGGGGAGGCTTGTGCCCAGCAGTAGGACGTATATAGGCTGTAACTTTACTTTACTTTTTTGTATATTGATTGTTGTTTTGAAAAAATTCCGTTGATTTTCTTGCTGGTTCTTCCCAGGACTAACTGTACTATTATGTATTCTGTGCCAGGACGAAGATTTTTCTGAACCAGTGATAAAACTTTTATGACTTTCAATAATTATTTTTCTAACCTTCACAAGAACAATAATATTTAAACCACTCAAACTTTTTTCAGACAGACGAACGCACCGCTGAAGTGGCCGTGTGTTGTCCAGGATACAAAATGAAAGACGTGGCGTGCGTGCCAATTTGTCCTAATGGGAAGACGGGACCCGGGTGTTCAGATGGTAACCTTCAAGATTTAGCTTTAAGTAAACGCCTATCACCTCATCCTCAGGATTGACAACCATCCTGAGTTACTGGAGGCGTTGCAGCTGTCTGTGCGTGATAAGGCGGTGGCTAGGCGTCACCCTCATCCCACCTTTAAGGTGCCGTATGTGAGGACAAATCTCAATCCTCAGGTTTGCGCCTATGTCACGTGCTTTAAAATTATTGAGTATTATTTCCGAAGAAACAGACATTTATCACTGCAGCCTGGCAAAGTTCGCAGAAGCGGCGCACAGGGTCTGTGAGATTTATTTTCAATAATTATTTTTCTTAATTATAATAGTAGATATATATTTTTATGTCAGTAGTTATAATTATCAGTTTTTTTTTTGTACAGCATTGTATTGGTCTAGTACTGTTATGGTGCTGTTACTGTTTTTGTAATAAATAAATAAATATTACGGCCATAGCATCCATTAACCATTAAGTGGACTGTGTGCTCATTTGTCAGCCTTATTCTTAAAAACATGTTTTTCAATATGATAATTTTTTGTAGCCTAAATAACATATATAAAAAACATAGTTTTTGCTAAAACAATCGTTAGCAGAAGATACAATATGTTATGCGGTATAAGAATATCCACTACCTCCTGTCGTCCCTCCTCGAGGATGTCGTGGGAGGCGATGAAAGGGAATTAAAACCGAATATGAACAGCAGCATCTTCCTCACAACTCAAAAAAAAACCCGCCTGCCTAGTGTGGCAACTATGTATTTTACGTAGTCACAAATATAAAAATCCTATCAGGCATTCTATGGGAAATGCCTATGTACAGCAGTAGACTGTTAAAGGTTGTATTGAATGGAATCGATAGACTTTATTTCAACAAGCCTTGAAAATTAGAAATATGTTTTAAAGATGATAGATCACACAATCATCAACAATCATCCAGCAGCAGCGGTACACCTGTGTATACCAGGCTTCTTTAAGCCCCCTCTTTTAGCGTCTGTTTGATGTCATTCGCCTTAGTTTTTTTTATATTATAGAATAAGGATGATAAACTAGCACACACTCCACCCGGTGGAAATTGGAAGCTGTGGCCCATAGACATTTACATTTATAATCGATTAAAAATTAATAGCGCAGATACGTTTTCACCCCTGAAGACTAGATGGAATGCCTTGTTCCCAGTTAAGAGGTTCTCCGGTTACTTACTTACGTTACTCACGATACAAAACAAAGCAAAGCTGGTATTCTGCGAAAGCGTGGTCCTACCCTGGCCGGGCCGACCCATTTAGGCTACAATCATAATATAGTATCTGCAGCATGGCTCTATTGCACATAACGCCTCAGTTATCACACAGTTATATACTATTTGTCTTATACTCTATCAATATTTTTATCAGATTGTCCAGAGAACAAATGGGGACCCAATTGTGTTAACAATTGTACAAATTGCTCCGGCCACGGAAAATGCTCGCCGGTGACCGGAGAGTGTGAGTGCGAGGAAGGATGGCAAGGTGAGAGGTGGGTTGCCACTTTTTGTACCCGACAGTTCTCATCGCTCCTTACGTTACAGTTTACAAAAACAGCAATAAAAGAACATACGTAAACTCTTTTCATGTTTCCAGGAGGAGCTAAAAGACTGATAAACCAACCTTTGATTTATTCGTTTATATTGGTGAAATACCTAATTTGTTATATTTGCACAGGAAGGTTGTATTTAGACAGGAGTAATTAATCCTAAATTTCAACAGTTTACGCAGTTTTAACTATACCAACGCGATAATTGTAGGTAGATGTATAATGAATAAATAAATATCTACCTGATTATGCTCGTAACTGGCTACTGCAGCTTATTTACAACAGTCACCAACTTCCAACAAAAAAGCCACAGCATGCATTTTTATCCTCAGAAAACATGGAAGTTTAATTATTTTCTTAACTTTAGTTATTTATCCCCTAATATCATTTAGCATTCTCTACCAGTCTACGTCAGGAGAAAATGGAAATGATAGCAGGTGCAACCTGTGCAATAATTGTTAGATAAAAATTAATACAACAAAATTACTATTGTATTTTATTAGTTATTTCATACACATTCCCTTTATTTTGTGTACCCAATCATTTACTTTTAGTTATATAATCATCGAAATAAAAAGGTATAGATTTAACAATGACATTATCGTTTACTGGATATAGTACATGAGTTTTATACCAAATTCATAATTTTTAAAGTGTCTTTTAAAAACATATCTTTCTTTACAGTTGTGAAAGTCGCATGTCAACCACTCAAGCCTCAACAACTTTGATGGAGGAAGTACTAACAACAACAAAATCCACAACTAATACTAATCCTTTACCAACCACAAGAACATTTAAAAGTGCAACTACTGTTAGTAATGCATCAACTGTTAGCAGCACTGCTGTAGAAGTTACTACATTAACAAATTTGCTGTCTTCTACCAATAGTCCTAGTTCTATTAGCACAACTACAACTTCTCCTGTATCTATCACTTCCACCACAATAGATCCTTCAATAAAAGAGCAAGCGTTGACTACGGAAAGTTATTTAATAACGTCAGAAAGAAACATAGATCACCAAAATTTAATCGGTATAGAAAAAATGAATGAAATTGTAAAAAGTACGATGTCATTAGCTGCAACAACATCAACTCATAAGTATGACAGTTTTAGTCCAACAACATCTGCGCCATCTTCTTTAAAAATTACAAACGAAGATACAACTAGTAACGTGTTTTCACAAACAATTGACAACAGGACTGAGACATCGATTGAGATCGCCAGTACAAGTCTAATTTCGGAATCAACTTTTTCTACCTCTACAAAGATGGTTCCATTCACTGCTGACACAACAAAGTATAAACCGTCTTCAAGTACAATGGAAAGTAGATTCGATCCGAATACAACTCTATCAACTGTCACTACGACTACTGAAAAGGAATATACAACTAAAACTGAAACCACTAAAAAGCCGGATATTACAACTAAAGCACCGTCAACTATAAAATTGAAACCAAAAGAAATATGGATCAAACCAGCACAGAAAGGTGATTCCGTTATAATTGACTTTAAAATTAAATCAAATCATGAATTAACACATTTAAGACATCGTGGTGCGACTAAGAAAGAGATAACATCAGAATTTACGACACCTAGAACCATAATTGTTTCTATCATTCCGACATCAGTTTCGTACGTCACCTTCAAAAAGATAGCTCTAACAACATCTTCATATTTACCTTCAAACAATGCACTACCAAAATCAAACAAAACTGAAAATGGGTTTACATATTCAATGGCACCTCATACTTCTTTACCACCCCTCATTAAAAAAATAATATCCAATACTTTTTCAAGAAACATTACCTTTCCTACGACCTTTGCACCAATTGTTTCCAAGAATGCAACGAAATTTGAACCGATATTTAAGGAAAAGGAAATAGATTCTAATATAACAATTCCTATAACTACAATAACTAACAGCATGACAAGCATGGAGGAGAACACTTCAAGACAGAATTCTTCTAACTCCTTAACAACAGTTTCATATTCAACTAACAGCCAGATGACGTTAATACACAAAAACCTGACTGACATAGTGACTAAGAAACCCACCGCAAAACCATTTAAAAGAAATAGCATTGATTTTACAACAAAAGCAGTGGTGATAATTCCTACTCATGTTTCTATGAAAGATGTTCCAGAAAACGTTTCCGATAGGCTCCCGAAACTAATAACAACCGAATTACCAACAAAAATATCAATACATACGAATAGTGCAGAATCCAATGATAGTATAAAAAATATTACCAAAGTTTTCAATAAAACACAATCAGTTACGACCGTGGAGCCATTGGAAGATGAAACCTTTCATATTTTGACAGAACCAGAACATATCACAGCAGTGATGAGTGACAAAGGGCGTGATAGGTCTTCGATGGATTTAATATCAGTTGTAAGCATAGCGGGAGGGGTGATGATGGCGGTAATCACCGTCGCGGTACTGATTGTGATGATTGAACGTTGTAGACGACCGCGCTTCGAGGACGTGAGGAAAGTGAACGATATTCGAATGCAAGTAATGATCGACAATAATGACAGTCCTCCGCCGTATACGAGAAGTATCTTCCATACTCCTTTACCAGGTATTTAAGCTCTTTCAAACATTATTAACGTTTATAACGAAATAATGACGATATCTTTTGTACGTGGTAGAGCCACACTGCAGCTATAGTATAGTTTTAGCACGAATGGGTTGGCTCGACCGGGGAAGGACACTCACAGAATACCAGCATAAAATAGTAGCTTAATATTGCTGTGTTTCGTTTGGTGAGTGTAGATCTGTGAGATCCGGAGACCCTTTTTTACTGGAAACGAGGCATTCCATCTTAATCCTCACGGGTGACAACGCATCTGCGTTTTGATTCTTGATGGAGGATAAATGGTATATCTCTCTCTAAAATACGTAATCGAGGATTGATGTAGATGCTTATGGGCCACAGCATCCACTTACCATCAGGTGGACTGTGTGCACGTTTGTCACCCTTATGCTATAAAATAAACTCTTTCATGAACTCCTTTATCACTCTTACGTCATTTGCGTGGTACGTCATTATTTTACGTGTTAGAGCCACGCTGCAGCTATGCCAGCTATATATAGCTGCAACAAGAATGTGTCAGCTTGACCCGGAACACGTAAACACAGAATATCAACGTGAAACAGTAGAATAATGCCACTCTATTCATGTGGTGAGTGTAAATAACCGGAGACTCTTTTTACTGTTTACCTTAGTCCTCATCCTCAGGGATGACAACGCATCTGCATTTTGATTCTTGATCGATGACCGATGTAAATGTCTATTGGCAAGCATTCACTTACCCACACTCACCGGCAAGTGGACTATGTTGACACTTGACACTACGTTATTCTACAAAAATTTTTTTGCATTTTTAATTAGTACTGAGTCTTTTAAAATTTTCATCTTTACAAATTGATAAAAATGCATAAATGTAATGTCTAAAAATAAAACAAAACAGTTAATGGTAATATAGGCAACTACTTATTAACGATGGAACACGTGCTTGAGGAGTGTACTTTATGGCAATCTTTGGGATATATCTATGTTTAGCAGTAGACTTACGCCAAAATAAAAGTTATATATCCTTATATTGTGTGCGTTTGCTCTTAACTGTTTTTTTATTATTATTTTTGGTATAAATATAAATGTCAACAATTTTAATGGTGCAGCTAGTTTCAAGTACAATACTTTAAATTGAAACCAATCGTACTAATAGTTTTCCTTTTTATACTCCTTACTTATGTATTTAGGTATTTTGAAGCCGAATTTTAAGTCAATGATTGAGTCAATAAGTGATAAATAGTACTTTTCAGACTTAAATAATCCAAGAACTAAAGTAGTTACAAATTAAATTTGGGTTTACATTAGGTAATCAAAATTATGTGTTAGCAAGGTTCATAAATTCCTAACTTGACTTATTGACCTATTTTACGAAATTTAAATCATTTAGGTATTTGATAAATAATTTTCTCCACTGTTGCAACGGCCCATTAGCTCAGTTGGTTAGAGCGTCGTGCTAATAACGCGAAGGTCGCGGGTTCGATCCCCTCATGGGCCATTGCAAACTTTTTATGTTCCCTAAAATTTTAAAACATATTTTGACAATATTTTTGTTACAGAGCCACCATCTACGGAAAAATGCCATTATCAACCAATATCCACTTTAGATCGAAATCTAAAACAGTTTATGAGACCTGTGGTTGTTCAAAGCATTTCTCCAATAATGTTAGAAAATTTCAGAGGTATATTTCTAATTTGAGAAATAATTTATTACTATAATTAACTATTATTTTTAGATATTATTGCTATATTTGTGCAATGAATTAATATACTAGTAATATAGGTACTTACTACATTTTGTAATTAAAGGGTACAATGATCTATATAAGTCCTCATTAAAAAATTTCCGTAATTTTTAAACAGTAACATTGAAGTTTTTTTTATCAGCCCTAAGACATTGAATTATATAATATATTACACTATAACTCAATGCCCTAAGACCTATGAAGCTATAAAAGCCAAAAGGCTAACAGTATCTTTCTTGAAAACATAATATTATATGAAAGCACACCGGATCTAATAAATTGGACCCCGTTTTATATTTAAGTGGCATATTCAAAACAATCAATTACGGTGGTTAAATTTCATAAAACTATTACTTTTCAGGTATCTTGGAATGTCATTATGATCATTTGCCGCGAAGAAATCATGATTTCGGAACTATGCCAACTCGTTTTGTAACAGCACCATCTATGAGCTATACTCAAGAACTACGATATCAGAAGTCTAGGTCCGTGACGGATTCCACCATTGACGCGTCAAGATGCGAAGCAAAACTCGATTCCATAGATTCTACCACATCAGAACCATTATATGCTGAGATTCCTTGTTGGCGACCACCTTCTGAACATGCCATAGAAGTGGTTAATTTAAATGGAGAAGCAATAACGGAATTATGACCGGCTAAATTATAACTTACGTAGTATTGATTTTGAATTCAATCAAAAGATGGCAGTAGCTGCGTCAAGTTTTACAATAGTTTTAGATTAATTTAGTTATTAATTTATGCCAAAGACATTAGGTATTGTACTTTTAATTTGTACCCACTTTGTTAGACTAAAATAAATAAAGTAATCAAAAAACTCTTCATCAAATATTTAATTTAAAAGGCTATGTATATTATATGCCGTATATTTCAGCACTAGATGGCGTTACAGGTTACATTTAAACAATCACTACACTAGACGGAGAATACAACAAAATACAACTGTACTTAATAGGTATAGTACCGGGATGACCGAGCTTTGCTCGTGTTTTTTTATGTTACATTTAGATACAAATGAACATGAATAATATTTTTTGATCTTATTGACATAATAGAAAAAACTGAACTGGTTATTTGAATAAAAATTATGAGTGCAATTAGTTTAATTAAAATTTACGTATTTTTAAAAAATACTAAAAAAAGGGCTCGAAATAATAGATTTTCTGACAAAAGAAGGGAACTTGAAAAAAAGGGAAAAAAGTCGGACCCAAGACGGGACGCGTTCACGATCTCCTCTTCTTAGAGCTGGAACCCGAAGTGTTCTACTGGTATAAGAGCATGAAGGTTTCCCCTCACAGTTTGGTCACTCTCAAGCACCTGGTGTCTAGAATGTAAGCCTTTGGACCAATTGCATCGCCGTAACATTTGGTTGCCTTCTCGCAGCAATTTTCAAAAACGGTCTTGTCTGGGTGTAGTGATGCGACTTGATTCTAGGTGACTCTCGGCCACCTTTCCCGTAGCACAATAGCGTGATCACTATCTCGATATCAAATTTTACCGGGTATCTATTGCCGCAGCGACGTCACTATGAAAATCACCGGCATGTAGCATTCCCACTGCACTACTCTTAATATTTCTTCTCCAGTAAAATGTCGACGTTGCATTTAATTAAATGTCAAATTATCTCAATCAATCCAAGTTGAATCAGAAAGGGTTGAGAAAATAGCGGTTTTCTGCAAACAAAAAAAAAACAATTAATCTCAGGACAAAATTCGCTGCTTCTAGTTCAACTTAAATTTTACTGTCAGCGTACGTATTTAATATTTTAATTTTATTTAAATTTGAAATTAATCTGGAATAAATGAGGGACAATTTGATATTAAAAACCATTGAGTTATACAACACATAAACCAATGTTAAAAACCACTGAGTTATACAACACTAGAGGAGCAAACCACATTACCGCGCGTCGAAAAAAGTGTAACCAAACGCGACGACGTAGCTTTGAAACTAATAACAATTTTAAATAAACCTATATCTATCTCACTTACACAAGTTACGAAAACAATATCTTCGCTAAGATTAAATAAAGATAGACACATAAACATGCAATGGCGGGTTGGTGTGGCTTACTGTATGAAATTTTACCTAAAATACGCAATAAAAATGAGTTTTTTTAAGCTACAGTTAATTGTTTTTATATTAAAAAAGTATATTTTATTTTAAAATCTTTATTGCGTCCCCTTAGAAAAAAAGGATACAAAGCTTATCAGATGAATAGAAGTAAATATAATGATGAAATAAAACATATTTTATAAGTATTTTTATTGTACTAATAAATCAAACAATATAAAATAGGTAATAAAATATAATTAATATAAAATTTATATGAAATTTTAATTAATATAAAATTATTAATATACAATAGGTAATAAAATATATTTAACAGGTAATTCATGAATAAACTAAAATAAGAATAATTTTTTTTTGTATGAAACATGACTATATTAAAACGTAGTTTTTATTGTAATTTACAAAATATTTAAAATCAGGGGAAATAAATTACTTAACTTACTCCATTAATTATTAGTCTCCCATTAATGTAGGATAATCACAAATACGGAAAAGTGGCAACATTGAACCTAAATGGCAATATTCGATAAATCTATTTAATTGTTTGCGGTTTTTTACGTTTATATGAAAACAAGAACTAAAAATTATGTGTTGAAAGTGATTCCGCTTGATTTATTACGTTTTTGTGACCTTGAATAGTATTCTTTCACTACGCATTTACCCATTTTTTGTCGCGGCTCAACTCTGTCGGCGTCACATTAAACAAACTGACGTTAGCTAGGTATATGGCTGTGGCCATATGTGCAGTGGCAACGCTTTGGAGCGGTTATTACTGATCTAGTGTAATATATAAATCAATGTTAAAAACAATTTAAACTGGCCGGTACTTTCTTAATTGGTTAATGTTTTTAAAAATATCCTTAAATCGTGTTGAAGTGTTTACAAAATTAAATTTTACATCTAACATAAACGACCTTTCAATTTTATTTTATGTCTTTCAATATTAGCAAAACGGATCATTTGAATCAGCATGGGCTAGGCATCTACCGAGCCCACATGGGTGACTAACGCCACTAAATGGAGGTTAGGCCTCTCAGAACGTACTCTGTGTCAGAACGTACTCAAGGTTCTCTGTGATCTGTGGGTCAAGTCCACTCTGGGTGTGAATAACTTGACTGCAGAGGGACTTTCTCTCCCCTACCCGCAGCAACCAAGATGAAGTCCTCAGGGAGTAGAAGTATGTTGCTATGGCAATATGCCTATCCTTACCATCTTTGATGCAGTCGCTATCGTTTGTATGGGGTAATTAGTAGTCAGGTAACGAGGGTATACCAGTGACGGCATTAAGATGCGCTGTATTACTTATACCCCTGACGAAACGCGTGTTTTAAATGCGAAATATTCCCTCACTCTCATAGTCTTATGGAACTGCAATCCGCCACGACCAGAGAGAGATCAGGTGCAGGACAAACGGCTTACGTGCTTTACGGGGACGAAACAATTATATATTATCGTATACTTATGATGAGAATTTCTTGAAAGAAAAAGGTGATTTTGCCCTGACCCGAGATTTGAACCCGGGACTTTATTATCAGCAGTCGCGCTTTAGAACACTAGACCGACGAGGCATTCACATCGTTTTAGGCATCATTGTCGGTGTTGTTTGCACAAATCTCCATTAACCAAAAACCTTATTCATCTATATCGTGTAAAGTAAAAAATCCAAAAAAATTTTTCCTATTTTGAAACCCAACGCTAACGTTCAAAACAAATGACAAAATTTTCCCCAAACAAATGTCATCAGAGGCGTTCTTCTGAGAAATCTACTAAAAGGTCACATAATATTTATTTTAATAGTCACAATAATTATAGTCACAATTATGCATTCGTTAATACTAAGTTCCGCATTTGTCTTTAGTTACAAACACACTCAACTTGGTAATTGTCATAACTCTAATCCTTTTAAAGCTTGACACATGACTGACATGAATTATAGGTATTTACTCTAACATTTTTCTTAATACCAAGTACCTATATAATATCTACATTGTATACGAATAGTTATTGGGTTTGCTAAGCTAGTGCAGTTATTTTTTTTTTATTTATCTTTCAAAACATAGTGGGATAAAAGGAGTCAGCCACCATCCCATTCCATTCCATCCCATTTCGCACAGTTGCTGTCGTAAGCTCTGGGCTTTCGACAGATGGTGGTGATGGTGGTATACCATCTTGGACAGTGACAGATGTACTTAGTCAGGCTGGTTTGAATTAAACGTGGTTAAGCCACGCTGCAGCTATATTGTAGTTGTAGCACGAATAGGTCGGCTCGAGCGGGGCAGGACCACGCTCTCACAGAATACCAGCGTAAAATAGCAGCGTAATGCTACTGTGTTTCGTATGGCGAATATAGAGAACCTGAGAACCTTTTTACTGAAATCAAAGCATTCCATACTAGTCCTCAGGGGTGACAATGCATTGGCATAGTGATTCTTAATGAGGGATAAATGTGGAAGTCTATGGGCCACATCATCCACTTAAAATCAGGTAGACTGTGTGTTCGTTTGTTACACAACTCTAAAAAAATTTTTACAGTTTCACCTGATACTGCGACTATTAATCCCCCTACCAAACGTGTTGGTGATAAGAAAGCCTTCCTATAGCTGATCAGCAGTGAGAGGCTTCGATGATGCCCCAATTGAATCTTCGTTCATTTATTCCTTACAGCCTTTTAAAAGTCCATTACTCAACAGAAGCCTCCCAATAGATTTCCTCATAGGTGAGAAATTTGTCTTAGTTGTCACGTCCAGCCGGTTGGTACCCGCATCTTTTATGTTTTTAGTTCTTATGAGGGAGACGACTGCCTATGTCCTTGTTTTGTTTCCCTCTATCACTCATAGGATATTCAAGGGACGATATGGTGTAGTGTATATTCTTACACCGCCTCACAATAGAGCCTGATTTTAGAAAACATTATGTTTTACTTCTCAAATCGGTTAGTTTCAAGGTTAAAAAACAATTTTCTTTAACGGCCTAGTACGCGGTAGATCCAGCACTTAAAATGGCAATTAAATATTTCATTGATAACGGCGGGGATCGATCAAACACTAGCGATCGATCCAGTTCGCCCGCATCAATATGTACTAATGATACAAATTTTAAGTATAACTTTTTTTATAAAATTGTAGCTACAAATGACCTTAGAGTTCACCCCACGGTAAGTAGTTACTGTAGCCAATGGACACGTGGAACCAACTTCAAATAAAATACAAATGCCCCACAGCTCGCAATTATACAGGCTCTCTATAACCTTTATTAGTGCTGAGCGGGATTCGAATCCGAAACATTATTTCGCACACCCAAATCAAAACTGAGTCAACTCGAACAACGCGAATTTGTAGTTATCTTTATACTCGAATGCTGGGTGAACCCATGCAACTATCCTACATAACAGGTACAAGAAAGCCTTGAAGGAAAAGTCGCTAGATGGCGACAGCTTCTTTTGTTGAATCAACGCATGCTACCCCCTCCCACCTAAACAAGTGTATTGTCAGCTGACCTTCGCTAGTCTTAGAGAGTGCATGATGTATTAACCTGAACGAAAACACGTATATTTCGTTTTGTTACAGTTTTCATGAAAAGAGTACGTGAGTCAATTTGAGTTGTTACAGTTTTGGTGAATAGTTCTGCTGCATTACTTAGAGATATTTGGACTTGTTCCAGTTTTGTTTGACAATCAATCAATCTACGTGCCACATTGTTTTAAAGGGTTATGTTTGAGTTAAATTACTTTTTGTGGCTATGTATAAAAGTAATACAATAAACTTTTTTGTTTCAGAAAAAAATGAAGCGAGACCGTATTCTTGTTAATATTATAAAACAAAAATATCAAGAGAACCTATTAAAAATGAATGAACAAGAGTCGGCAAAGTGTATAAATGTAGAAGCTCAAAATAATAAAGAAAATAGGTCAATAAACACTGCCTTGCTAACAAAACCATGTATTAACCAACAAAATGAAAAAAATCTTGACATACAAAGTGATAAGGGTCTAATAGATGACTCTAATACTGCAGATTGTGTTCGACAAAAAGACGAAAAACTGACGCCTAACGCAATTCCAAATTTAGAAAGGTATGAAGAAAACTCACTAATAGTCAATGAAGGAGAGACGGCCACATCTTCGAACTTTGAACAACAGAAGAGCAAAGAGCACACGCCAATAGATAATGCCTTACTGACCAAATCATGCAATATGCAGCAAATTGATACTGAAATTAAAGTCAGTGTTACGGAGTTCATAAATAGTATCCCAAGGATTGTGTCTCATTATCTGAGAGTGCAGACATCATGGCAGTTTATTTGCAGTGACAAATCTCTTGCTGACTTATATCGTGATTATAAAGAAGCTCGTGAAAACAAACAGTTACCTTTCGCCACAAAGTCAACATTTAACAGGATATTTAATACAGAGTTTAATATTTATTTTTTTGTTCCGAAAAAAAATCTTTGCGACCTCTGTGAGAGCTTTAAAAACGCTAATGAAGAAGAGAGATTTGAAATACAAGAGAGTTATGAACAACATCTTTTAGAAAAAAAACTAGCAAGAGACCACAAAGAAAAAGACAAGAACAGAAATGACGGAGTAATTGTAGCAGTATATGATTTACAAGCTGTTATACAGGTTCCAAAGGGTCAAGTTTCCTTGTTTTTCTACAAATCCAGAATTGTTTAAATTTCACAATAAGTGATCTGTCGGCAAAAGATGTAATATGCTAATTCTGGGATGACACCGAAGGGAAAAGGGGCACTGTAGAAATGGGCTCATGTGTTCTAAAGTATATTGACACTTTATTAGATAAAAATCCTGATAAAGACATCGATACTGTCTTCTATTCCGACAATTGATGTGGGCAGCAAAAAAATAAATATTTACTTTCTGCTTATGCTTATGCTGTTGTCACTAAACGAGTTGCGTCGATAACGCACAATTTTCTTACACGTGATCATTCTCAAAATGAGGGTGACAATGTTCACAGTGTCATAGAAAGACAAATAAAAAGGCACATTAAATCTGGTCCGATATACACCCCACAATATTGCACTTTGATACGTTGCAGTTAAAAAAAACGGGCAGTCCCTACCTAATGGAAGAGATGACGTTTGAACAGTTCTACGATACTAAAATCTTGCAAGAAGAGTGGGGTACCAATTTCAATTTAGATGAAGACCGTAATCAAGTTAAATGGCACGACATTAAAATCTTAAGAGTGGAAAAGGAGAACCCGGGAGCATTCTTCTATAAAACGTCATTTGCAGATGAAAATTATAAAAGGTGTGAGGAAAATATTACAGGGCTTACATAAAATACCACTCTCTGAGGCAAAGATGAAATACATTAAGGATCTAATAAAAAAAAACACGCAATCCCACAGGTTTATGTAGATTCATATTTTAAAAATGTAGTTGGTAATAATAACTAATTGCTTTTGTTAATTGAGTGCTTAATTTTAAAACCTGGATGTACGTAGGCGGTCCCATAATGAATTAGCCTAACTATGAACCAATGAATGAAATGAAACGAAACCAATTTTATTTTTCAATATAATCACCATGAATACTAACACACTTCTGACATCTGTGAATCAACATCTCTAAGCCTTTATAAAAATAATCACATTTTTTATCCTCAAAATGACTGAAGACGGCCGCCTGCAACTCTTCATCGCTTGAAAATTTTCTTCCTCTTAAGTTCCGCTTTAAATTTGGAAATAAATAATAGTCGGACGGGGCCATGTCTGGACTGTAAGGTGGATGTTGAACTTCTAGGAACCCGCATTGACGAATTGCATCCTTCGAAACACCAGCGGTATGAACAGGGGCGTTGTCATGGAGCAACAGGACAACTTTAGACAGCTTGCCTCTTCGTTTTTCCTTTATCTTGTCTCGTAATTTATATATTAAAGAAGCATAATATTCGCCGTTCACCACTGTATTACGTTCTTTAAAATCCACCATCAAAATGCCTTGAAAATCCCAAAATATTGTGCACATCAGTTTTTTAGTCGATTGTTGCACCTTTGCCTTTCTAGGGGGCTTTTCACCCTTATAACGTCATTCCATTGACTCGCGCTTGCTTTGTGGATCATAATACAAGATCATAGTTTCATCACCAGTCACTAGCCGCTCGATCACAGTCTTTGGATTTTCGCCACAAAGATCCAAAAACTCCGAAGCGCAGCGCACTCTTTCCTGTCTCTGTACCGCTGAAAGAAGTTTCGGTACCCATCTTGCACTCACTTTTTTCATGTGAAGATGTTCATGGATCGCGCGATGAACGGTACTCTTAGAGAGCCCAAGCCTTGCTGCAATTCCTCTAATCTTCAAACGGCGGTCACTCAGAACCTCCTCTTCGATAAGAGCAATCGTTTCGGGAGTGAGCACTTCCACAGGTCGACCGTCGTGGCCAAAGTCTTCGACGGTTTCTCTCCCGAGGCGAAACTCTTTCACCCAATTTTTCACTGTGCTATAGGAGGGGGCAGACTCCTTATACACGCCATCCAATCGTTCTTTTATTTGGGCAGGGGATAAACCTTCTTTAAACAGAAACTTTATGACACTTCGATACTCAGTTTTCGACATTTTGAAAAAAACGCGACTCTCGTTATTCAAATGCCTGTTAAACTAAGACTAAGCATTTCATGTCGATGCATGTTTCTTATATTAAGTGCATGATAAACGTACTATTTAATGCAACACAACATGTAGCGACATGTCGCGTTGAACTATATCAGGCCAGTTCATTATGGGACCGCCTGGTACCTTTTAAGTTCATAGCTATAAGAATTTAACATTTTATATTGATTTTATAAGACGTTTTATTATTTTGTTATTTAGGTTATGTAGTAATAAGAGACTGGTGTTTTTAAAGGTGGGCAAAGTGATATCCACGTAATTTTAATTGTTGATCTCAAAAATACCAAATTATAATTAGAAGTGTAAAAGTATTTTATGTAGTTTTATAAGAGTTTGATACTAATTATTAATTAAAATTTCTAAGATGATTCTATTCTTATTTTTTTTTATAAACAAGATTATAAATCTTATCATTTAAGTACATGAAAAAAACCTATGTTTTTTTATTTTGAAATGTTTACCTTCTTTGTTACTTCCTGTAAATTTTAATATTTTGAGACATACTTTGTAATTTATTATTAGCTTCAAATAACATGAGAGCCTTGGCCCCAATTTAATTTTGAAGATATTTTTTGGTTCTTAAATACCATAGTGTAATAAAAAATGATTCCCTTAATTATACAATACATTGATGCATAATTTTTGTGTTTTAGTTTATGTTGTTTCATTTGTAATGTATATTTTTAATTTTATTACTTTTTTAAATTAGTTTTATTTGAAGAATCGTTATCTTAATTTTTGCTCTAATATAAGTTCAACTCAAAATGGTTCAATAAAACTGCTTCAAGTCTAAATGTGGTCTTATTTGTATACAAAGTCACCACCCTAAAGTGTAACAACTCAAAAAATACTGATTATCGGTAAAAAGGCTCGATTTTTAGCCCCAGTTTACATACGGTGATATTTTCCTACGTATTTATAATGTAAAACAATATTAAGTTTTCTAACTTCCCTAACAAAAAATGTAATAACACGTTTTTCTTCGTCTCCTAAAAAATAACGTTTTTTGAGTCGTCTCAGTTTTGATCTAGGTGTGCGATTTGTAAGGCCTACAAATAACTTTTCTAGTTCTGGACAATTGCCCTTGCGTAATTTATATATGTGAAAGTGAAACGCCATGACGATAAGGAGAAAATCCGCATCTTTTTAAACAAATAGAAATGTTTAACAGACTGTCTTCGCCATCCTTCGAGCTTATCGCATTATAGAATCGAAAAATGCTGGATCAGACAAAGGAGTGCCTCTATTTTCGCGCGTACACTTGCAGTAATATATTTCCTACGTCGTAAGATTCTTATTATTTGGAAATTTTCGTCTTAGTCACTAGCAGAATGTGAAATCGGCAATTTTTTATACTTTTTATAACCCAGTGGTTGACAACAATCTACCTACGCATACTCGGCTCGCGAAGGTAAAGACTGTGTCAGAATAATATAAAATATCAGACTCGCACGAACTTCCATCCTCGCCGCGTATTGCTAGGGTCAAGGAAACGTTTTAAGACAAGTACGCCACCAGCGCTATCACCAGTTGTCCGCTCTTCGGGAGAGGACCCCCTCCTCCGTACTCCTTCTCAGGTAAGGCGGTCCTTCCCGGAGGATCACTAATCAACTACTACCGACTACCTATCCCATATAGCCTTCTTCTCCCTCGACTCCACCTCGACTGTGGTAATAGGCATTTTAATTCTTCTTAGTTCGCCGTTGATGACCAAGATTACTAAGAACAGGAAACCGAGAACCTGTACGCCTGGTAAGTTCATGGACACCTTCAGCTAACTTCAAACAAAAATGACTCCAGATGCATGGTCACCTCTGAGGACGACACATTTACACTGCAATTTGATTTCAGAAATAGGTAAGAGGTTGTGGTACACACCCACTGGCAGTGTAGGTAGAAAGGGGGTCCTTAAAGCCGTATTAGTCGCCGATTTAGGGTTACAACATCCTATTCATACATAAGTATATATAAACTCATACATATAATATATACATAAATATATATATATATATATATATATATATATATATACATACATATATATATATATAGGTACTAAATATAATATTAAACACGGCTAACTACGAACGCTACGTAGATTCGGCCATTTTATTGACGAGCAGTTCTCGCACTTTAGACTTGAACGAAATCCTGTTTTCGGCACTTCTGATTTCGGAAGGAAGAGCGTTCCAAAGAAGAACAGATTGAACAAATAACGATGATTGTACAAAGTTAGTACTAAAAGGGGGACACTGAAGCAAAAGGTTATTACTAGAACAGAGAACTCTATCATGGTTGGAGCCAAGATATTGAAAACGAGGAGTTAAATAAGATGGAGGATTAGGAGACATCAAGATAGAGTAAAGAGTAGTGAGTGCACGTAGACTACGACGCTGACGAATGGGTAACCAGTTGAGTTGAGAGCGATAAGTAGACACATGATCATACTTTCGAAGATTAAAAATGAATCGAATGCAGTTATTAAGAAGACGGTCATATTTGTTCAAGAGTTCTGCATTCAGGTCGAAAAAACACACATCACCATAGTCAAAAATGGGAAAAAGTCTGCACAATAATCGTCTTGGTCCTGGACTGGAGAAAATTCTTCAGGCGGTAGAGAGAATGCAAAATACATGTCACTTTCTGACAAACATTTGCCACTTGAGTTTGCCAGCTCAAGGTGGAGTCAAAATGCAGTCCAAGGTCTTTCATGGTATTACTCAGTTATAAAATAAAACCGTTAAAAATAATCGGCGTTATAGCTGTGGGATCCAATTTTTTTATCATCCGTTGGCTACCTATTGTAAGATGAGAACCACTCCAAAACCTCAGATGAGATCATAGAAAGTGAAAGGATTGATAATAGGATGTCGTGACTGATGGCATTAAATGCGTTAGAGAAGTCAATCAAAACCAGTACTGTGACATTAGTTTCCTCTATACCTAATGTCACCAGTGACTTTAAGGAGCGCGGAAACAGTGCTATGACCGGGCCTGATACCCGACTGTAATGAGCTTAACAGGTTATTCGAGAAGATAAAATGTGATAGCTGTTTGTGTACACAAGCCTCTAGCACCATTGATAAAAAGGGTAGAATGGACATAGGTCGGAAATGATTAGGTAAAGAAGGATTAGAAATTTTTAGCAGAGGTATAATGTAAGCTTTACGCCACAGCGACGGAAAAACTCCAGAATCCAGAGAGAAGTTAATTATATGGGAAATAGCAGGAAGGAGATGGTCTATAATATTAATAATCATTCGGCGACTGATATTGTCACAACCAATAGCATTAGACCAAATGGAGAGTATAACCTTCCTGATCTCATTCGTCGCTATTGGAGAGAAGCGGAAAGGAGCGATATTAGGACGAGGTAAGCCCACTAACTGATAAACAGTTTGACACTTGGTTTGGTGATCCAGAGGTGTACGTGAAGAGAAGTAATGATTGATATCATCCAAACCAATTGTCCTCTGAAACTCAGAATGGGACTTCTTACCAATACCCATGGTTCCAAGGAACTTCCAGATAGCTGCGGGAGAAGAGGATACGATGTTGTTAAGAATATATCGGCGTTTTGCGTTGCGTATCATCTGGTTACACCGATTTCTTGCAGTTTTAAAAATGGACCAATTTTCCTCACACCGCACTTTTCTATATTTCTGAAAAGCTCGGTCTCTACGCCTCATCACAACGCGGATCTCCGTTGTCATCCAAGGTGCTGGCAGCCGCTTTAGCTTTACTTTTTTAATAGGAGCATGCATATTATATAGATCAATTAATATGTTATTAAATGCGCTAACTTTTTCGTCTATCGTGGGAGCGGCTGTCACTTTGTCCCAGTTAATTTTAGAAGCATACTGACACAACTTCTCTACATCCATACGGCCAAAACAACGCAAGTGCAGAATTTTAGGTGAGGGCTTAGGAGGTTTCAGGATATAGGAAAGGAAAATGAGATCATGATGGGAGAAACCAGACGCATAATGTTGAACATGAGAAGAGACAAGGGTGGGGTTTTGTCTTTAAGACACCAGATTGTATTTAAAATGTAAAAAAGACACCGATGAATTATACCAATTTGCAGTTTGCTGTACGTATTTCGAATAATTAAGCAAAACGTTTACATCAGAAATCATTTTTTACTGTTTTAAGTACAGTAACTACAACAAAATCTTCAAATGGTAGATACATAAAATTAGTAAACTTTTACAGGTTATACGTGATAGAGCCATCTATATTACAATAGTAACTCGAATGGGTCGGTTCGATATGCGAAGGACCACGCTCTCACAGAATACCAGCGTAAAATAGCAGCTAAATGGTGATATTTTTCGTATGGTGAGTGTAGAGAAAGAAGGGTATCCCTTCTCACTGGAAACGAGGCATATCATTTTGGTTCTCAGGGGTAACAAGGTTTATGCATTGTGATACTTAATTTAGATGTTGCAGTCTACAGACTACAATATCCATTTACCATCAGGTGGACTGTGTCACCTTTATTCTATTAAAAAAAAGTTAGTTTAAAAATTGTACATGTTATAATTATTAATAAAATAAAATGTTTCAACAAGTCTATAAGACGAAGTCGTGTGCGGACGTACGTGTTTTTAAAACAAGCTTGGCATCGGTTCGGCATCTCTTGACACGTACATAGTGTTCGGTTTTGTTGGTTGGTCTGGGGTAAAAATATAATCTCTGAAAAATATAGGACCTAACTGAAAAAGTGTAATATTCGGCCCCATAACATAGCATATGATAGGGGTAGTATGCTTTATAGTACGTTATTTAGCTATGCTGTATGGAGCTGGCAACTCTACGTTTACGTGATAGATCCTTCCTGCGACTGTATTACGGCTACAACTCATTAGCGTCAGCTCTATCTAAGAAAGACCACACTCATATAAAGCACGGGAGTAAAATAATAGCAGTGTATTTCTGTAGTGGGTCAGGAGAACCGGAGACCCTTTCTACTGGGAACGGGCGATTTCATCTAAATCTTTAGGAATGACAATTCATTTGCATTTTGATTCTTAATTGAGGAAACAAAATATACGTTATTTTACAATCATAAAAACAAAGCAGCATCGATTCACAATTTTTTAATAAATCGTGAGAAGCGAGAGCTCTCGTAAATTATGTAAAATTGAACACTTAATATTAAATTAATCACGTATGTAGGTGTATAACATTAAAATTCTAGCGAAGCTGTAGTATGTGCAAAACAAGATTAAATTATCTCATCGCTTCCGATATATATGACGACATTTTAACCTCATGGTTTTAGAGATCCGTGAAAGTTGATTTTAAATTAAATTTCTTATTAAAACAATTTACAGAAAATAACTTTCTTAGTTGACCAACTGGTACGTTCATCATCATCATCATCATTACAGCCCTTTCGATGTTCACAGTTGAACATAGGTATCCCTCAACGAACGCCACACATCACAGTCCTGAGAAAAATGTATGCATCAACTTTCTGCATGTCTTACCAGATTGTCACTCCATCTAGTGGGAAGATAAACTTCATTTTTCCTACCTTCCTTATCGGTTGTTGGTTTGTTTAGCCATTTCTATTCCGGATAGGTAATGCTTCTTTATTCTTTATGAGCACAGTAAGTACTGGCCTAGGTCGTGCTAGCATAGCATAAGGATGAAGGACCTGATTGCGTTTTGAACGGAGTTCCCGGGAATTCTCGTCTACGCTAATGACAACTGTATGGTTTTAGTCGCTAGAAATCCGGCGTCTTGTTTTCGTTGCCAAAGTTAGTTTGAGTATTTCTGTCAAAAATTGTGCCTCAGAGAGCGCGTAAAGCCGTTGGTCCTGCACCTGATCTTTCTCGGTCGTTTTTTTATAGAATAGGGGTGACAAACGAGCACACAGTCCAAATGATGTAAGTGGATGCTGTGGCCCATAGATATCTATAGAATCAATACGCAGATGCGTTGTCATCCCTGAGTACTAAGATGGAATGCCTCGTTTCCAGTAAAAATGGTCTCCGGATCTCTACACTCATCATACGAAACACAGCACCATTAAGCTGCTATTTTACGCAGGTATTCTGTGACAGCGTGGTCCTTCCCCGGTCGAGCCGACCCATTCGTACTACAGTCATAATATAGCTGCAGCGTGGCTCTATCACATACCATAACGTGTCGGATTGCCGTCCCATTGGACTGAGAGCGACGACGACTGAAAGTGCACCTGTGTTTGTGCACAAACTCGTGCACTATGATCATCTCCTGCGCAGTCGTAGCTAGTTTCCGTTTGAACAGGCTGCTGTGATTGAAATTCGGCCTGGAGGATAAAAAAACTCTATACGGAACCACTCCACGATAAAGCACAACCGTACTTTACTAACTATTAGGACAGCTTATAATCATGTCATGTCAGTGTTATTCTGAATGTTAAACAGTGCACAAGTCGATCTCGATTGATAAGCGAAGGTAGGTTAAGTCACAGTTTAAAATTAACCATTCTGTCACACAGTGTGCGGTCTGATTTATTAAGGTATTCGCTTAAGGATTTTTTTTTTCCAATATCTTTGTTAACACACAAGTGTTAAAATTTGCTTAGATGTATTTGTTTGTATTAAATAGTTAATGTGGAAATATTTTACATTTTTTATTACCTTGTATTGGCGTTGATAGAATATCCACTACCCCATATCATCCCGTGTGTACGAGCTGTCAGAAGAAAACAAATGAGGAGATGGGCAGTGGCGTCTTCGTAATAACGACTAAAAACAAAAAACTGCGGTTGCCAACCTACTTGCCAAGTGTGGCAACTATAGCAAATATCCCCGATATGATGTATGGTGGAGGCCTATGTTCACCCGTGAACTTTAATAGGCTGTATCGGTAACTGTAACATTTTTTTTAATACAGATATCGTGAATTGTAGCTATTAATAGAGACTGGCCTCCATATTTTTTGTTTCTTATATCATCATCCAATGATTTCATATATTTGCGCGATTATCACACAATGAATAAAATTAACTTTACGGATTTTGCCGCGTTTAATTATAACTTTTTTAATTTCCGATTTTAAATAGCAAATTATTATCATGTAAAGAACGTAAAGATATTGGGAGCCTTTTTGTTGAGCGAACTGTAGAAATGGCATATGTTGAGCTTGAGCACCTCATTGTCGTGAGTGTCTACAAAACCCCATATTCTATATACGATACTTTTAAAAAAATTATAGAGAAAGTTTTTGCTAAACTTAATAAACAGAATAAATCTGTTGTAATATGTCAATCTCCTGGAAGCTTCTGCCATCAATATTAATTTATATTGATAATTTTTTTATTGTTTAAATAAGATGGTCTTTTCAAATTATTTTTTGAGCTAAAGCGTATCCCTGGATATCACGATACATTTGTGGCCGTGGAAGGAAAAGGGGAGATCTCCCGCCGGACAAGGTGTTCTGCCCGGGGAGCGGCTCACACTCCATGTGATAATTCGGAGATGTTCTATATATACTGTTTATGATTCGGAATGTTGATAGCGCGATTTAGGCTTCGGTGTGTTTTCGCTTGTGGCGACGACGGCAGCGCCGCTACATCACCCCCTGCTCAGACCGGAGGTCGATAGTGCAGTCGAGTTGTCGACGAATGTGCAATTGCCAGGAGATTGCCTTGTAGTCTGCGGTGAGTCGAGAAGAAGGCAAGTAATCTGCGAGAGTGCCGTGAAGCAGAGGCGAGCAGTAAGGCTCAGAGCCGTGCCGAACACTGTATGGCGCAGAGAGTAGCTTGAAGGAACAGGAAGCATTATTATTCCAATGCTGCGATGAACCTTGTGAAGCTAGATGGCTTGCAGGATATGAAGACTGCAGACGATATCTGCTCGGGAGCGATACGGTGGGGTATTCAATGACGATGATGAAGCTTGAAGTTTCCGAAAGTTGTTGGTTGCGTGTTCAGATCACGTCGTTCACCACTGTGGCCGTGGAAGGAAAAGGGGAGATCTCCCGCCGGGCAAGGTGTTCTGCCCGGGGAGCGGCTCACACTCCATGTGATAATTCGGAGATGTTCTATATATACTGTTTATGATTCGGAATGTTGATAGCGCGATTTAGGCTTCGGTGTGTTTTCGCTTGTGGCGACGACGGCAGCGCCGCTACACATTTCACACTTGCATTATCTTGAAATTTTGTAGTAGTATGTAGGTTGAGATTTTATTTTATTAATTATGGGGTCCCAATCTTAAAATTAGGAAGTTTTTATTTTATTTAAAAAGCCTCGCAAATTTTAGGTAGGAATCGAGGTTCATTCAAATTTGACGTAATGGTTGAGACGATCCTGAACTAGTTGACATGCTGCAGACTACCCGGAGTGATAAAAATTTGTAAATCTAGTCTCAATCACTTATTTAATCCATCATCATTGTCAGCCCGTAAAAAGCCCATGCGAAGAGGATGTACTCTAACCGTCACGGTCAGCAGGCGAATTGAAGATCGCAGACCGAGACGTCTTGCATCTTTTGTTTGAGTATTACGTCCAGCATTAACGAGACTGCTATTTTTTTATAGAATTAGGATCGGAAACGAGCACACAGTCCATCTGATGGTAGGTGGACGCTGTGGCTCATAGACTATTTACATGAGCCTTTGATTGAAAATGTCTCGTTTTTAGTAAAAAGGTCTCTGATTCTTTACACTCACCATACTAAGCACAGCAGCACGAAGCTGCTATTTTACGCTGGTATTCTGTGAGAGCGTGGTTCTTCCACGGTCGAGTCGACCCAATCGCGTTGCAGCGATAAAATAGCTACAGTGTGGTTCCACCACGTACCTATGCCTTGCTGGTATTTCCTATGGTCGCCTTTTATGATATCTATGGGAAGAAATGCGGTGAAGGAATCTCTTACGTCCACACCACACGGTATATTTTGAATTAAGAGTAAAAGTTTTTTTGAAATCATTCAATTTTCCGCCTTTAACAATCAACTTGACTTCGCATTATATATTATATAATCTTTGAACTGCTTTAAATATATTTTTTATCGTACATCTGTCTAAGGGATCCGCCCGTGTTTATTTATTTATTTTATTTTATTTATTTGTTTTTTTTTTACAAAACATAGTTATTTAATAACATCCGACAGTACAAATAAACTTACAAAAGTTTTTCCATGTACCGCCAATTCGTAACTTCGACCATGTTCAATCGGTTCGCGTGGCGACAACTAACATAATGATTTACATACATGGTAGGACAATATAGCATTTTTTTTTACTATATGTGTACCACAGCAATGAACAGTTACTGAGTATGACAAATAATATTAGCAATTGAGATAATAATGTTACGATTGTGTGTATCTTTGTATATATTTATTAGGTGATTTGTATTTATGTATATTATGTGTGTTAGTACATATAGTTTTTTTAGTATAAATTATTAGTAGGTATCGTTATCAATTTGTCTATAAAACACTGTTTAAGCTTATATTTAATAGTTTTTATAGTTAGTTCATTTTTATTGCTTTTGGAATTTGGTTCAAAAGAGCGGGAAATTTTCCATACATATTTTTATATTTTGGTATAGTCATATATGGATTAAGGACTTGTCGTGTAAGCTTTGTATAGATACGGCTTCATTGCTATAATTTTCAAGCAGTAGTTGGTAATTCACTTTGTCCTGTACTGGTAGTATATTGCAATGATGAAAAAGACTATAAGGATTTTTTTATTTATCTTTGATTTATATGAGATATGTTGAATTAAATAAACGCTTTCGTGTTCGCTGTTTCGCAGTTCCCTTATTTTTCTATGGCCTAAAACACTCGGTAGTCTTTATATGTATACGTGGCAGAGCCACGCTGGTGGTATATTATGGTTATGGCATGAATGGGTCGGCTCGACTGGTGTAGGACCACGCTTTCACAGATTACCAGCGTAAAATAGCTTAATACTGCTGTGTTTTGTATGATGAGTATAGAGATCCGGAGACCCTTTTTTACTGTAAACGAGGCATTCCATGTTAGTCCTCAGGGGTGATAACGCATCCGCGTTGTGATTCATAATCGAGGATAGATGTAGATGTGGCTCATTCACAGCATCCACTTACCATAAGGTGGACGGTGTGCTAAGGTGTGTAATAAGGTTGAAAGAAGGCTGGAAATTGCTGGCTTGAAAGGCCACAAAGCAAATTTTTATTTTTTAGTAGTTCTTAGGAAGGCACTACTGTCCATCGTAGGCGCTACTGTTTATTTCCCTCTGTTGGCTCTTACGACACCCACGAGATGTTATGGGGTAGGTAATGGATATTCTGACACAGCCAATGGTATATGGTAGTATAGCAATACTACTCTATATGGTTCTTAGAATCATTAGCAATTTAAACAAAACTATTTCAAACCTTCAAGTAGTCATCGTTATCTTTATATGTATATAATTATTGCTTGTGCGTTTGTTAGTGATTGTGTAACTTCTGAACGACTTGACCTATTGAGATCATGTTCGTGCAGTGTATTTGTTTTGTCGAAACGATGATTCATAGCTGCTGCGATGCTGTCGTTAAGTTATTAACAAATTCTATATAATTTATGGACCAAAATGACTCATACTCACAATATGTGTTACAATAGCTATTAAGTTTAGTGTTAAGACATTTTTGTGGTAAGTAATAAATAAATTTTCTATTTCGATATGTTAGTTTGTATGGGTCTTTGTGCAATTTTTATACGTAAACCGCCTCCACGATACAGGAGAAATTATGCTTAAAAACAATGCGCTAAGGTTAGAAAGCAGACTTTCATGACCAGTCCTCCAGAGCAAATTTCGGTTACAATTGCCTGTCTCAACAGAGACTAGTCATCTGGGCTGGAGAGGATTATATTTGTTCATTGTGCATGAGGGTATGCGCAAAAAGAAATGCACTTTATTCCCTCACTTTCATTATCCGATAGGATGGAAATTCGATACGACCGCAGAGAGATCAGGCGCAGAATCAACGGCTTTATGTACTGCCCGAGGCACGGGGCTGAAACCCCCCAAATTTCTGACTCCGAGTCTATCTTATCACTTTCCAAAATCGATGCTAACAATTTTGCCTTCATAATTTTTCCCAAGTTAAATAATCTCAGTTCTATCAATTTTTTTCATTTCCTTACTTTTAAAGATTTTAGAATAAGCTGCACACAAATCCAGTTACTTAGATGACAATAAACTACTTAATTCCTAACATTCTGGTTTTCGTCCTGCAGAAGACATGGAGATGTTAGCTGCTGCTAGAATATCATAACGGACTGTGCTTTCTGTACAATCCGTCATGATATTCTTCTTGCTATTTGTAAATACATGTGGTTCTCTTCTTTCTTTAGCTTTGGATTGATTGTCATCTGTCATCTTATCTTGTGGTCGACAGCAAAGAGTTAAAATCAATCAACAGTCCTTCCCTGATTAGTCTTATCTTTTTTTATAATTTTAATCTTTTTTATATTTTTGTTAATTTCAAATTCTCCTACATTTGATACGCTGATGATTTATATTTGTTTGCTCAAATCGTGCAATCAACGTACTAAATCCAAGTCTTAAGAGGTTAGAGTAAGTCAGCTCAAATTCTAATTTCTATGTACCGAAATATTTGTAATCACTAATACTGTAAGTAGAAAGGTCGTTAGACACTTATTTCATTAGGTTTATCATATGTATGCCTGTTTCTTAAAGCCAAGCCAGCCGCTTCTTATTTTTATCACGGTTATTTCCCATTTTAATTTTACGTCGTACTGTTGCGTAATGTATATTCTGATCGTAAGCGACACAACTTCTCCCTTCAAAAGCCTAAGCGATACTAACGGAACGACAGGAATCAAGCTCAAGACGCCGATAGTTTAGGTAATTTCTTTTTACAGTGAAAATAATGGTATTTTAAAAAAGTAAATAACATAAGCACTGCTTTATAGTTAGTTCAGTTAGTATGCATAGTTTCATGATCTTATTTAAAGTATTTTATGAATAACAGCGGTTTATTGTTTATTTTGGAGGTAACTTTGAATTTTTTTTTCTATCGAGAAAATTTTACGAAATCGTGTTTTCGTCTAACATAATCACTAACTATAATCCTCAACTTTACCATATATTTATTTCAAAATTAATGCTGCAATATTTTCGGCATAACGAAGGATCTTGCTAAGCCATTTGACATTATATTTCCCCTTAAGTGCATTTATCACTGGTGCAAAAGCTGTGGCATATAATTATCGGTAGTCCACGTCGTCTAGCTAAACTAAATTTTATCCTATTACGTTTACAACAACACAATTAATCCTCTTAGTCATGTAGTTAGAGACCTTGGGTCGGATTCCCTTATTTTTTTTAGGATAGGATGACAAACGAGCACACAGTCCACCTGATGGTAAGTGGTTGCTGTGGCCCATAGACATCTACATCTATCCTCGATTACAAATCAAAATGCAGATGCGTTGTCACCCGTGAGGAATAATATGGAATGCCTCGTTTCCAGTAAAAAGGGTCTCCGGTTCTCTACACTCACCATACGAAATACAGCAGCGTTAAGCTACTATTTTACGCTGGTATTCTGTGAGAGCATGGTCCTTCCCCGGTCGAGCCGACCCATTCGTGCTACAACTATACTACTAATATAATTGCAGCATGGTTCTACCACGTATGAAATGCCGAGAAAAAATTTCCTTCCATTTGTAACTAAAGCTATGTTGCCGCGAACACTTATTTTACCGGTCATTGATTATGCCGATGTGTGTTTCTCTGATAGACAACTGTAATACTTTTGTGCAAATTGGACCGTCTGCTCATAACAGTATCAAGAAACTGACTTTTGTTGCTGCCTCTAAGAGAATGATGTCCGATCATTACTTTTCTTCGTCCATTAGCTAACTTCCAAAAATTTTTATGATTATGTGTGCGTGGATAATTAAGTTTTCTATTTATAGTATTTATGTTGGTATGTAAGTATGTTTAAAATGTGTATATTGTGTATCATTAAAAAATGCGTATCTTATTTATCAGGTGTGGAATATTTGTTATAGATTATTTGTAGTAGTATAAAGGGTTATTTTTTAAAGAGTAGTCAAATTTCAAGCTTAAGTTCAAATATATAAATAATGATATACCGTTATTGCAGTTTTTGAAAATACGAGTAAATAAGGTTAGTTCTACTTTTATTTGAAATTATCTCAATATGACTCCTACGATTGTGTGCGTGCGCAGCCAAATCAGTTAAAATAATGCATTACCACGTAGCCCATTATTACCTTAATTGTAAGGTTACAATTTAGAATAAATAAATAATGTTTGAGATTTTTTAATTATTTTTTCTTCACCATATTCCTAGCCTATATTCCTTATTCTGAACCTTCTTAGCAAATTTGGCCGGTTATCGCAAAATAACCCTGTATATCTATGTACATATGTTATGTGTGTTTATTATTTAAATTTTAGTATACATATTGGTTGACTGGTAGAGCATAAAAAAAGATTAAATTCGCCAATCGTACACTTTATGCGCGATGAAGATTTTTAATGATTGATTTTGGACCGACCCGTGATTCGAAACCAGGACCTCAGACAGCAGTCGCATTTACAAACATTAGACCAAACAGGCAATCGAAAAGCATTTAAAGCTTTAACAAACTAATATCCGACTTACTGCTTTACCCGCAGCATACCATGCAGTTCTACGTGTGGACGTGCGCACTGCTTCTTGCGTGCGTTGGTGCGAACAACTATGACACGCAGTATGTGAAATCCGTAAAAGGCGGCTTCGGAGGAAAAGGCTACCAGTATCATGCCGGTGAAAATTTTGCCAAGTAAGTAAACTTCACAAAATATTTTCATCTATACATATAAATAAAATTGATATTTACATTTATTTTTTATTGACTGAAAGTGACAAACGAGCACACAGTCCACCTGATATTAAGTGGTTGCTGTGACCCATAGACAATTATCCTCGATTAAGAATCAAAATGCAGACGCGTCGTCACCGCTGAGGACTAAGATGGAATGTCTCGTTTCCACTAAAAAAAGGTCTCCGGTTTTCTACACTCACCATACGAAACATTCTAACTGGAAACTAATTCCTACCCCGGTCGAGCCGACCCATTCGTGCTACAACTAAATATAGCATAATATGGCTGCACCATGCATCTACCACAAAATATTTTAAAAGCAAATTTAAGCCGCAGATGTTATTGACAGTCGGCAAAGGACGGAAATTTCTCGGCCTTATTGACCATTTTAAGAATATCCTTAAAAAACGAGCACGTATTGGTAGATAATATAATGATGTGAAAAGAAATGTGTCTGGTTCGTGCGAAATGCAAGTCCGTAGTCTCTGCCTACCCCTCTGGTTGACCAGCGTTAGAGTTTACGTATTTATGGTGATCGCCACAAGCTGGTTCTATAAAAATTCATTCAAAAATTTTACAAAATAAATTTATTGTAAATTGAAATATGTCTAAAAAAAAGACCCGCTGGGTTTCTTGCTGGTTCTTCCCAGGAGAGAGGTTTTTTCCCGAACCAGTGGTAAATAAAAATATGACTTTCAATAAGTATTATATAATAATCTATATTGAATAAAAATCTTTAATTTTATTTCATGTGTATGTATGTAAATATCATTTAATTTATTCATATTACAGGTATTTTGGCAACCACACTCAGCAAGGCTATGATTTAAGGCAGAACATGGGTGAAACTGTCACTAACGAAGTCGGCGTGTGTTACATCGAAATACCGTAAGTTTAGTCATTTGGTAGTACCCTCATTTTAGGCGGCAATAATTAAAATTTATACCGTGAGGTGGCGATGTAAGAATATGCACTACCCCATATCATTACGTGAGTGTCGTAAGAGGCGACAGAGAGTAACAAGAGATGATCAGCAGCTTGCCAAGGGCCAACTATGTACTGTTACAAAGTACCTTTATAAAATATATACGAGCAAATAAGTTAAATAAAAACCGGCCAAGAGCGTGTCGGGCCACGGTCAGTGTAGGGTTCCCGTCCGTCACAATAAGTGTTCCCACTTATGAGTTTAAAGGTGAGTATCCAATATGTTCGCGCTCCAGCAGCGCTCCGCGTTCTTGCAACTGCTCCCGGTAGTGGGTACTGTTGTTTCCATCCAAGTTCAAAATGATTTTCCTAGAAAGTACTTATAAAGTTCTACTTTTCAGATTATTTTCATATTTTTTAAACTTATGGTTGAAAAGTTTGAAGGGGGGACACATTGTTTTTTACTTTTGGAGCGATTATTTCCAAAATTATTGACATTATCAAAAAATGATTTTAGTAAACCCCTATTCATTTTTAAATACCTTTCCAACAATATATCACACGTTAGGGTTGAAATTAAAAAAAATCACTTCCCACTTTACATATAGGGGGGCTACCCTAATGAAACAATTTTTACCTCTTTGTCGGCCTAATTGATACACATATTGGTACCAAATTTCAGCTTTCGAGTGCGAACGGTCACAGAGATTAAGCGAGGACGGACAGACGGACAGACAGACATGGCGAAACTATAAGGGTTCCTAGTGGACTACGGAACCCGAAAAAGGTTCATGGAAGCTCAACGTTTCCACGCATTCTTATGAATGAATGAATGAATATACTATTATTGTACACCACAAACAAATATACAGATAACAAAACACAAAGCATTCTTATCTTTTAAATAGTCGTCTGATTTTTAATGTCCTTACTTTATACGCGTGATATAGAGCCGTGGTAGCTCAGACGGTTAGCGCTCGTTGTAAATTTTACAGTACGCGAGCAACTCGGGTTTCGATACCCGCCGGCACCAACGAAATTTTTAATTGCAATTTTAGTAATGCCCCATGCTCATGTCTGTTGTACTAAACATTGCGTTATTTTCTCTGTCTGTTACTGTCGGTGAACCCGCGCGCTTTGCTGATATAAAGCTTCGACACTCTCGTCCACCATTTTCGAACTGAGTAGACAGTCCGTGCCCTTAGGGCTCTTCACATTACCCAGCTCGAAGAGCAGAGCAAATAATTGCACCTAAAATAAAGTTTTAAATCATTGCAATAAGATTTATTTTCCATTTAACGTTATTTTAATTAGCGTATGACCGAGAGCCGTCCTATTGTTCGAGATGAACCAGCCGATCGACTTCTGCATGCTCTTTCAAGCTCGCGTAGTTGACTGTCTTTATTTACTTGCTCCTTTGTGCACCGCTCATGTCGATCTTGCAATTTGATCGCAATTTAACATTACAATTCCGAACCCAAAAATATACACTCGGCTCCATCCGGCATCAAACTTAAATCTCTCAACGGGTATACACCTATCACCAAAAATTGTCCGGTCTATGTAAAAAACCGATCACCATTTGATTCTTCAAGCTGGTCTATGCGAAATTGCGAACGAACCCAATAGTAAATATAAAGCAGTGAAAGCGGTCATACGTTGTTCTTTAGAAAAACAAAGAGCTACCCGGAAAAATGTAGACCTATTTGAAGTTGTGGTAGCGTCAAAGTTCGAGACAGTATTTCGTTACAATTTAATCCTTTTATAATAATGTTAGTCACGGCTAAACGTGTCCTTTTCATTTCCATTTTAAGCCGTCTTTAAAAAAGGAATAGGTTCTCAATTCGACTGTTTTTTTTGTGTTACCTCAGAACTTTTTTCTAGGTGAAATTTTTTTATTTGAAAGCTGGTGCTTCTCAAGTAGCCCCATATAAATTTGAACAAGATCGGATCAGTAGTTTTTGAGTTATCCTTAATAATGCCTTTGTTGAAGTCGGTTGTACAAAATTACCACCTTTTAATGAATCTACTAAATATTTTTAGTTTTCTATTAGAGTTTTATAGAAATTATTTATTGTATTACAGGACAGCAAGTCTGGTAAGAGATCAAGCCCACATTCCCGCCGGAAACGGGGTAAGACTTCAATCAATATGTTTCAATCTAGATAGATAAGGTTCATTCTAGACTAGCTGATAACTTGATTTTAGGAATAACTGCTCACAAATCAAAACTTTATCATTCGTAAAAGAACACGTTATGGAATTCGCTTTCCTTAAGTATCAAGAAGGCATAGAATTGAGTCGTTCAAGTAAACTAAAGCAAGATCATTATTTATATCTTTGTTCCACTTATTTCGCTGTCTTATCTATTCTCTATTAAGTTTGTATATATATATATATATATATATATATATATATATATATATATATATATATATATATATATAATATTTTAAAGTTGAAATTGTTGAAAAATAACATTATGTATGTACATATGTACTACAAATGCACAAAACCCGCTTTTCTTCATACATTCGATCATCCGGATTTTCGATTATCCGAATCCCTAACGGCAAAAATTGGTCCGGTTAATCGAGTATATATATACATATTGAGAATCTAAATTGAGAATTTAAACTATACGCGTGTGTGTGTTTGTGTGTATATAAAGAGGGCTACTTTTAATATTGCTCATTTTAATATCAAAAATTTAAGTTATCTTTATAGCAGTATTATATTTTCAATTCAAAATTAGTACTGCATTTGTGATAATAATAAAATGTAGGTATGTATATAGAGTACTCACTCATTTTCTTTCACTATTTTTTTCGTGACTTTCTTCATTAATAATAAATGCACTTTGTTCATTCATATTCAAAATTTCAAAACACTTTATACACAAACACCGTGTCGAAGACTGAGGAAAAGAAACGACGTTAGACCATCGTTAGACAATGCACGGCCTTCAAGCCACACCTCCGTGCCCGTCGGAGAGCGTGAGGTTTTTTTCGTTACGGAATTTCTGGATTTTCCCGCACTCAAGGCCCGCGATAGAAGCTATGCAATAGCTTAAAAATAATAATTTATTCTTAAAAATTATTATTTCTTTAGTTCATCAATGTATTTATAAGTTATACAAAGGTACTTACTGTTTTTTAATTTTGTTATCAGTTGTAGCCCTTTTTAATTTTTTTAAACGTTTAGCTTGTAAAACTAGTGTTTAGCGTCTGCTCGTTAGGTTTGGTAAGGGCACCGGCGGAATATCGTCGCTGTGCTTGGCACATAATTCACATAATAGTAAGTACATGTCATCGAAAAAATTTCTGGTAACGAGGCAGAACTGAGGCATTATATTTTAGTCCTCAAGAGTGACTACGTATCTGCGTTTTGATGCTTAACCGAGGATAGATATAGGTGCTTATGAGCCACATGTAGTTAGTGCGCTGGATATTCAACATTACTTCTTTAGAAAATCTAACCATGTTCAATTTTCAGTCACGGCCTGACCTCAGCCGCATCAGAGCTTGCTGTAGAGGATACATCAGAAACATACATAACTACAGGATCTGTGATCCCGTTTGTTCGCAAGAATGTGTCAATGCTCTGTGCACGTCTCCAGAAACATGTACCTGCTTCCCCGATCACGTGAAAAATCTAGCGGGATTTTGCGTCCCGACCTGTCCAATTGGCTGCCAAAATGGTCACTGTGCTGGTGGGGAATGTCTCTGCAAAGAAGGTTATAAACTGGATTCAGAGAGCAAATACTGCTTGCCAAGCTGCAAGGAGAATTGTGGCGGTATCGGTTAGTATATATACTATGATTATAGTCCAAAAAACCACGGTTGCTCGGAGGATAAGCGCTCGTTTTTATTTCATGGTACGTTAGCAAGCTGAGTTCAATCCCAACTTGCAATAATGAAATGGTTAATTGCAATTTTAAATGTTGTTTATCACGTTAAAGTAAAACAACGCGAGGATTCTGAATATCTGAAAGTTAATCAGTCATGAGAATTATATCAAAACTCATGGGAGCAGCGCGGTCTTTCTACTTTTGAAAGAAAGATAAGGAATAAGAATAGGCGATTATGAGGCATGCGAGAAAGATCTCATAGCTTATGATAAACACTGTTATTACCAACTCGTATATTCCAGGTTTAAAATAACCAGATCACTGCAATAATAGATACTACAATTGCCTATCCGTCTGGCTAACGTATTAATTTCGGCAAATTCTATATACAAAAGTAGTCGCAAATGTCCAAAAATAGTATCCACGGCTGAACATATGCAACAGGCTGATCAAAAACCAAAAAAAATTTTAGGAGATTTTTGGGATTGAAAGATAAAATACTCATTCCTCTAAACCTTAAAAATGTAGGTTTTTAATTAAAATCTTTTAAGAAAGACCATAAAATTGCTTGGATATTTTTTACCCTATTCTTTTGTTAAATGTTATAATTTGGAACAGGAAACTGCACTGCACCCAACACCTGCGAATGCAAGAATGGCTATAAGTCAACTCCAGAAGGCTCCTGTAAGCCAGTCTGTGACCGATGCATAAACGGTGACTGTGTTGCTCCAAACGAGTGCCGTTGTCATCAAGGTTACGACAATAATAGAGGAGAATGTGTACCGCATTGCAGCCAGTAAGTTTGTTTTAAGATTTATTGTCGTCATTATTACAGCCCTTCACAAGTTCAATGCTAAACATAAGCAGGCCTATGAGGCCCCGAGGAATGCCACAAAGCACATTCCAGGACCGCCTACATCCCGCATATTTTACCAGGTCATCAATCCGTACGTCGTACAAGGGTGGTATACTCGAGAACCTTTCTTACCCATCGGTTGTCAATTCTTCGGTTTTTCGTTTTAAGACTTATTATTAACTAATTTTATGGATAATCTGTGGATAAATACTTTTCAGTACATTTTGTGACAAAAAATATCATTTAAAAGTTGACTTTTGGTGTTTTCTGCACCAAAAACTACCCGTAACTATTGGTGCAGAAAAGTGCCCTTAACGTCGGGGAACAAAAAGGTTAAAATTAAACGCGATAAAAGCTGTAATTTTGTTGTATTCATGGTGTAGTATTAACGTAAATATAAGAAATCACTATGTTTTAAGATTATTAATGAAATGCAACAACTCAGAAAGATAATTATCGTATGGTTGGGCCATAATGAAATTTATATACCCGTTTCGTCCAGTGGATTTCTGATAAGGAGGCGACTAAGGAAAAATATCAGTAAAATATAAGATTTTAAGGCTTTCAATAGATGGCGGTATTATTATCTCGTTTCAAATACGTAAAATACCAAGACCAGTGACAGGCAGTATAGTCAAAGGTGATCGTTTTTTTTTATAGAAGAGGGGGCAAACGAGCATGCGGCTCACCTGATGTTAAGTGACTACCGCCGCCCATGATCAACCGCAACACCAGGGGAATTGCAGGTGCGTTGCCGGCCTTTTAGAAAGGAGTAAGCTCTTTTCTTGAAGGTCCCCAGGTTGTATCGGTCCGGAAAAATCGCCGGTGGTAAACTATTCCACAGAGAGGTTGTACGCGGAAGAAAACTCCTTTTGAAACGTACAGTGGTGGACCGCCAAGCATCCAGATGGTGTGGATGGTATCGGGACGCGTAGTGCGTTCACGAAATTTGGCGGCTGGGATTAATCCGAACAATTCCTCAGAGCACTCTCCATGGTATATGCGAAAGAAAATGCAAAGGGATGCAACATCTCTTCACAGCGCCAGTGAATCGAGCCGATCGGAAAGCACTTGGTCGTCGACGACTCGAGCCGCTCTGCGCTGGATGCGGTCAAGTGGAAGGAGCTGGTACTGGGGAGCCCCAGCCCAGAGATGGGAACAGTATTAGCAGTGTGCGGTCGAACTTGCGCCTTGTAAAGTTGCAGGCGGTGTGCCGGCATGAAATACTGTCCCGCTTTGCTGAGCACGCCAAGCTTTTTAGAGGCCAATTTGGCCTTCCCTTCCAAGTGACAACGAAACTGCACGTCACTCGATATGTCGACGCCGAGGATTCCGATACTGGCTGAGGCAACAAGGGGAGTGTCTTGAAACTGAGGGGATACGACAAAGGGGTTCTTTTTAGCGGTTAACGCGCGAACTTGTGTCTTCTGAGGGTTAAACTGGACTATGTGATGTGATCGTGAATACGCTTTAACAACAGTTAACATTTTATAACGCATTCTACCTGAAGGTAAGTGGATGCTGTGGCCCGTAAACACTTACATCTATACCCTGCTATGATTGTCATCCCCGAGGACTAAGATGGAATACCTTTGTACAAGTAAATTTTGTCTCTGGTTTTTGATACTCACACAATATGAATCACGCAGTGTTATGCTGCTATTCCTGAATACGCTGGTATTCTGTGTGTTCTTGCGCGATCGAGCAAACCCATACCAACTACTGCTGCGTAGATCAACTGTGAATAAAAAAAACTGTCAGTCGTAGAACTGCACGTCAGAAGTAAACACTTTTAGGAAGTATTTTTAGTTAGAAATTATTTTTATCAACGTGTTAATTTTTTTATTTATTGCACTATTTTTCATTAAAAAAATTATTATTATCTAAATTGGATTTTAACATTACTTTCATCAATTTTATGTTATTATATATATATATATATTATTTTGTATTATTATACATTTATGTATTATTTTTTATTTTTGTTATAGAATAAGGGTATTTTTATTATGGATGCTATGGTCTATAGAAATATAAAGTTACTCTATTCTATTTAGAATCTTATATTCGATTTAGAAGATTTAGAATCAAAATGCAGATGCATTGTCTTCCTTAAGGGGTAAGATGGAATGCCTCGTTTCCATTAAAAAATGACCTCCGGTTCTTTACACACTTATTACAACCATAATATAGCTGCAGCGTGGCACTACCTCGTATACAGCCATTATTACATTGGCTCCAAGGCGGATTTAATAAATTTTATTAAAGTACGAATAACAATAACTCTTATTGCATTTTTCAGAGGATGCGCACCAAATGGTCGCTGTGTCGCTCCTAATGTTTGTGAGTTCCCTTCGACGACTACAACATCAACAACCCGTCCTTCACCAGGTCAATCTTCGTACCAACCCGGTCAGGCTTCATATCAACCAGGCCAATACCCATATCAAAGTGGCCAATATCCCAACCAGTACGATCAATCAAAGTTTCAACCTGGTCAGTCTCCCTACCAGCCAGGACAATATCCAAACCAACAAGGTCAACCGCAATATCAACCTGGTCAATATCCAAACCAACCTGGCCAATATCCCAATCAACCTGATCAATCTAAATACCAACCTGGTCAGTCTTCTTATCAGCAAGGCTACAATCCAAACCAGCCAGGTCAAACACAAAATCAGCATGGTCAATATCCAAACCAACCGGGGCAGTATCTAAACCAGCCGGGGCAGTATCCAAACCAGCCGGGGCAATATCCTAATCAACCAGGGCAATCTCAGTATCAACCTGGGCAGTCACCTAATCAATCAGGTCAACATCCGAACCAACAAAACCCTTACCTGCCTGGACAGTCACCGAATCAAAATATGTATCAACCGGGTCAAGACCACCAACCTGGATATCCATTGTACTCAGGAAGTCAACACATCTATCCTGATGGCGACGTGCAAGTTCAGTGCACAGTGTCTTGCATCAATGGTTTTTGTGTTCAAGGGAATAAATGTGCTTGTAACCATGGATATGTTTTGGACAAGGAAGATCCTTCTGGTACCAGGTTAGTTTCTGATATAACTATAAAAATATTTTCAGAGTTTCCTTCAAGACCATTAACTTACTTTTTAGCTTGACCTACGTGGTGTATGTATGTGCGAATGGAATTGCATTTTAATTTTTTTTAATCCCATTTCCATACGTCCGATTAATAATAAAATTTGCAGATATATTGTGATCCAATGACGAATCAATAATTTAATGAATATGACAAAAAATCGAAATTTAAAAATAGGCGACGTCAAAAATCTAAAAATTAAAATAATTTACACCTTTAGAAGTCGAAGCGGATACATGAATGCACACGCAAATGTATTAAAGCTCCGATTTCTGAAGTCGCATTTTAATTTTGTTATAAGTTAAATAAAGAATGATAAAGCTCCGACTTCAGAAGTTGACTTTTACTTTCTATTATAATTAGACTTTTTAAACTTTTGAATGGAACACGAAACATGCTCAAATGTCGTCTAAATAGTGACAATATAAAATTAATCCCCTATTCCTCATTCTTAGGGGATTTCTTTTGAAGTACCTTTATGATTACCTCTGAAGTAAAGCCTATTGAGTTATGTAGCATAATATATTACGATTGTTTTCAAAAAATGTCCCAGAGGTTTTTCTGAAATTGTGGTAAATCAAATAAAAAATATAACAAAATAATAAGCTGCTTAAAGCTCCCGAAACGTTGGGTATTAAAAATAACATAAATAAACGTGATAAAATCCGTAAAAGTAGTTTGAATCAATGTGTAGTGTTCACTTAAATATAAGAAAACATTAAATAATAAGTATTATTTATAATTTATATTGAACAAATAAAATCATATATGACATGCATACAAAACTTCTTTTTTTTTTGTAAAGTCGACTAAAAACGATAAGAGACTATAGTTTGTTTAAATTTTACTAAATTTAAATGCTTTTGTGCAGGTGCTTACCAAACTGTCCTGGTGGATGTCCCAATGGCATTTGCTCGGCTCCAAACTTCTGCATTTGCAATATGGGCTACTATAAAGACCACAGTGTTAAGGGTAAAGCTGTTTGCGTCAAACGCAACCGGAGGTCCATCGATACTGAGCAAGAGGAGCCGTTAGATGTCGCCAAATTACTTGTTTTTAAATTACCAGATTATTGAAATTAAATACAAACTCTTTAGATTGTACTGAATGGTTTAAGTACAGCAATATAATACTTTTATTAAATTTTTTTATGATTTATTTTTGTTTTATTTTTTTCTTCTTCTTCATCAACAAGTAAGGAGAACCTGTCAAATATTCTAGATTCTAAATTGTTACTCCTTGGTATAAAGTGCAGCAATATTATACTTTTATTAAATGTTTTATGAATTTTGTTTGTTTTCTTTTTTTTCTTCTTCTTCATCAACAAGTAAGGAGAACTTGCCATATATTCTAGATTCTAGATTGTTGTGTCGCTCGGTCTCGTCTACACCAGACCAGTACACGGTATATATATACCGTGTGTAGTGACATCATTTCCCTTCCGCTTCGTCTCATTTACACATAACACTTACTTATCTTTTACTTACTTATCGATTATTCGATTAAGAATTTAATATTTATGTATGTATGAATGCATAATATACCATTTCAAAAAGTATTAATTCTCAACCGTCAAAATGGTGTTTAAAATACGATATTTTGTCCAACCTGCCCTTAAGTGCTTGTATAACTGAGTGGTTTTTTGCTACACCCGCAGGAAATCTGCAATACGAACGTGTATCTCTGGTGGGATCCGCAGTTAGCAAAGTTTTGAGATTTGATATTTAGTTGTTGTCGAAATATTAGTATCGTTTATATCAATCCGATCTCCTTTTTTATCAACATCTTATTTTGGATTACCAAGTGTAATCATAAAACACCAAGTACAGTTGCTAAGTGATGCCCATAAGCAAGGATCCATAATCAGGCTCCGCCTATTACAGGTCCGTAAGCACTTAAAAGGTGGCGTCAGTCCTTGTTATAATTATTAAAAAAAAACTACTGGTAAAGAAATCAATATTCAATTTTTTTTTATCACCCGCACATGCCCTATCAAATTATCTTTATTTTAGTGATGTTCCGTTACGTGATAGAGCCACGCTGCAGGTGTATTATAGTTGTAACACGAATGGGTCGGCTCGACCGGGGAAGGACCACGATCTCACAGAATACCAGCGTAAAATAGCAGATTAATGCTGTAGTCTCGTGTGGTGGGTGTAAAGCATATTCTTGCTGCTTCTATGTGTTGCTGCTATGAGCTGCAGCTGCAACAAGAATGGGTCGGCTCAACCGGAACCAATGGTGAGTGAAGAGAACCGGAGACCCTTAAACTGGAAACGAGCCATTCTATCTCAGTCCTCAGCGATGACAACGCGTCTGCATTTTGATTATTAGTTAAGGCTAGATGTAAATGTCTATGGTCCACAGCATCCAGATTCATAAAAGAATTCGGTGTACACTGCAACTTCTGGTACGAAAGTGTCACTAAACTACTTCGCGGCAATTCTCAAGTTCTGTTCTAGTATATTCGGATTCGTAACTCAGCATATCCTTGGAGTACTTAACGCATCCACTGGCAGACTGGTACCCTGTGAGGAGCTGGTTAGTGTAACAATGATGCGAGCGGTGACTAGATTAGGTTTTTTTTGACCAAGTACACTGACCACTAGAGTTCACAATTGCATTGCCACTGTCAAATTCAAATAAAAATATTGTAAAACACGAAGTAGTTTGTCTAATGACGAGAATGTTGGTGATGTACGAGTATAAGACAATTTTGTCAAACTAAGATATTTAAAACTACATAAAATAAACACTGTATACATATTTCGCCTTTTTTATGTCTTTAACAGGATGCATTAAGTAACTACTAATAAGGTGCACTATTAGTACGATTATTTGTTTAATGTTATTCTTTAAAAAAAAGATGGAAATGATAAAAGAAATTAAATGATTTTCATTAGGTAATAATTTCAAAAACAAAAATAATATTTAACTAATTTCTATGCCTATTAAGTATGAAACGCGCAATAATAATTTTGAATGACTAGTGAATGAAATTAAAAAAAAATAAGTTTTATATATAAGTTTTATTATAAAAACTTTATCGGTATCACAATGCAAACTCATTTTTTCAGATGAGCTACCCAAAATTCGGTCAGTTATTTTGTTGTGTTGACTCGTTAGAAGATTATTTACATTTATAAATCTATAAAACTATGCATATTAAGAGAATCAGAAATATAAAATAATGATTTCTAAAATTAAATTCTTATGCTAGAAGGTAGTACAACAGTAGTAATCTAAACAAATTACAAATAGAGTGCATAACTCTCTATAACTTGTTACATTATTATCATGTAAACTTTAAACTTAAAGTCAATAATAAATATCCAAAAAAAATTCAGCACAACTTAATCACATTCACGCAAAATATAAAATTTAAATCGTTGAATGGTTCAGTCTTTACGTTTGGTGATTATTCATTTCTACATTCTGATGATTGACCTCTGTAAAAAAAGATAAAAATTCATTATAAACACTAAGAAATACCTGTGTAAAAAGTAGAGTAACGTTTGATTACTTATTCTCTTTATTATTTATTTAAAATTGTGTAAAAGTTATTATATTTACTCAAGTTTTCTCTAAGCTCCAATACTCTACTTCTGCCAAGGAGTAGGTTATTGGAGGAGGAGAAGTAGAAAAGCCCACCTTGATAAATTTAAGAGACAAATTTGCTTACAGAGTTGAGTGTAAAAGATTCTATTATTGTCGTTATGTAATCAGTACAGTACGTATAGTCTGCTTCCAGTTTGTAGGGCAATCATGCAATATCCAGTGACTTTTGTATCTTTCTTTGATTCAACACGGAGTAACGTATTTGATGGCCTAGGCAGTAGTCATTATCTAAGTGTACTTATTAGATGGGCTGCGATATCATTAATTACTCTTATGACAATAGCATAAGGCAATTCTAAAAAAACAATATAAAAAGAACACCTCTAAATTTTTAGTAAAACACTAACAGAATTTTTTGCATTATTATATATTTGCATTATATTTTTCTACAAAACACTACTTTAATTTGTTCTAAAATTATTTGTAAGCCTTACCATATGTGGCAGCTTTATATCTGCTTAAAGCGAACTTAGCGATTAGCATCAAAAGTACTCCTACGATAACCCCGATTAAGAAATAGAGTACGACGGATGTAGTCGTGCTGCCTTGTTCTCGACTGCCGTTTTCACCGCTTAAATGATCGCTAAAAAGTAAAATGTAATAAAAATCGATTAAAATTAATAAGGCAATCATTCTTGGCGATAAAGTCCACAATAAACTTATTCACTTCAAAAATATTATACATGTATTACGATTTTAGAAGATACCTTTCGTGAGGATCTGCGTTTGTCGTTGCGTTAGATTCTTTAGTCGATATCTCTGTAGTGTGGCCTACATCAGTTACTTCTGACGTCATTTCCATCGTATTCTTGTTTTCAACTTCATCGGATGTAGGTGGTAGAATAACAGTAGTATTGTCTGTTGGTGTTTTGTTGGAAGTAGTTATATTTTTAACGTCATATTTTTCGGATTTGTCAGTTGCAGTAGACGAGTTCACCGACGGTGCCACTGTTGATACTAAATCAATTTTAATAGTTGAACTCTTAGTATCAGTAGGTATTTCACTCACTGATGAATTTTCTTTCGCACTATAATCAGTTTCATCTTTATCTACTTTGGGATGTAAAGTAGAATTATCCGATATTATTGGTGTTTTGGAACTTACTTCAGTAGGTCTGGCTGTGGAGGTAGTTACCTCAGTTTTATTTTTTGGATACAGTATTGTTGTAGTAATATTCTTTGAAACCGTAGCCAATTTTTCAACGTCCGTGGAAAGTGCGGGGGTAGGAGAAGTTTCATTTAATAACACAGGAGTGATTTCAGCGATTTTTTCAGTTTTAAGCGTTGTAGTATTTTTAAAAACTGTTGCCTCGGTAACAACTTTTGTTGTATTTGATTCCAATGTGCTTAGGGTACTAAATGCGTTTATTCTCTCCCATACAGGAGCTAAGATTTCTGGAATTGGTTTTCTGAAAATGATTTTAGCATTTATTTAAATTGATCAGTTATCAATATATTAAATAATTTAAGTTTTTAATAGTACTAATTCTCATACAAATTTTATAAAAAACAAAGTGTTACAATACGAAAACTACATAAAACTGTATATTAATTTAACAATTGTTATACTATTGCTGTATGTGTCATGTATGTAGCACTACTGAAACGCAATCAGCTTTTGGGTCAAAAAAACTGGTCCCCAATGGCGATGCAGACAAATTTCCTATAAAAACTTCATCACTATGTTACTGGAAACGAAGCATTTCATCTTAGTCCTCACGTGTGACAACGAATCTGCATTCAACGATCCTTAATTGAGGATAGATGTAGAGGTCTATGGACCACAGCGTCCACTAATCATCAGGTGGACTCTGTGCTCGTTTGTCACCGTATACTATAAAAAAACAAGGGAATCCCAAACCAATTTTGAAATATCTATAAAATAAGTTTTATGCTCTCAACGAGTTATTTATAACATACACGAAATTTCCATATTTTGAATAATGAAAACATGATTACCTTTTACATTTACAAATATCTGCGAGGGCGATGGATACTGCTCTGTGAAAATGTAAGCTCTAATTGATTAAACAAACTACAAGTGAAACAAGAAGCTGTAGAAATAATTTTAAGATAAAATATCAATCATCTTTCTTTCTTCGTCTGTATCTACATATAATAAACAAATCATATATGTTTGATTTTGACTACATATTTAGTACTTTTTATATATTGAATCTTAAATCGTGTTGAAATATTATTTATTTACTTATATAGCCCTTATTATTAACACCTTAAAAAATAATAAAGGGCAGACTTCATGCCTATCCGCTTTTCTGCCAGTAAAAATAAATGTATATAATAAGTAAAATTTCTCATGTAAATTTGCATTATTCTTGAAAAGCTTAATATAGTAAACCACATACACGATATATATATATATATATATATTCTCTAAACATAAAAGATTTTAAACATTGATATGGTCACTATAAAATGTTGTTAGATTAGGTAATTACATAATAACTTAAAACGGAAGGACCGTTAAGTAGGAATTGAATAAATTAACCGACTTGGTATTACATGGATCTCACAACTTTTTACGGTAGAAGAACTGAGTTGCGAGACTTGGTTTTTTTTACAAGTTATGTTTTTGATGGGATATATATATACGTTACCGCACACTATGATTTTCTCCTGTATCGTGGGAAGCAGTTTACATACATAAATTTTACAAGGACAAACATCATACTCGGAATAGTTATTTGTAAGGCCATATAAATACCTGTATCGTGCGGGAATCGAACCTTGGTGTGCTGCAAACAATTGCTAAGCGATGCGCCATGGAGCTGTCAAGCAGCTTCCGTCACCGGTCTTGTAATTATCTATCTGTCTGATACGAGATGGTTATATATCACCATATCGTCTTCATGGTATTTCTGATAGTCGCATTTTACGTCATCCACTATACCAAAAGACTAGCTTTTTTAATAATAATTGTCATTTTGAATAAAATGACAATTTCAAATTAGTTACAGGAATAATATAATTAAAGACCGGGTAAAACAACACGCATCTTTAATTGGCACTTTCGTCTAATTTGTCCTAGCGTTTCCCCTCATTGAGAGAATGACTCTTATTACACCCAAGGGATAAGAGGGTAATGGATTTTCTTAGTATGTCACCATACAGCGATTTATTTTATTAAATAATAGTTATACACACCCATTTTCTTCGGTGTTCGCGTTGAGATCACATTTTGCTGGCTGAAATTAAATGAAAAGAAAACCTAAATAATACATACTAATATTATAAATGCGAAAGTGTGTTTGTTTGTTTGTTTATCCTTCTTTCACGTCGCAACAGAGCGTCGGCATGGCATGATTTTTTGTATGGGGATAGTTCGGTAGCTGTAGAGTGACATAGATTACTTTTTTCCGCGGAAATACATATCATTCCCGTGGGAAAATCGAATATGTTGCAAAATTAAATTCAGCTAGGTGGCGCCACCGTGATTCTACAAGACGGACGACGGTACGATGGACGAACACAGAAGGTCAGAATATCTGGATTATTATGTCTTTTTGCCAAAATTAAGATAAAAAATGTATGGATCTGTATTTTTCCACGCAAGGTCGGGAAGAGAACGATAAAAAAATATAAAATTCACCAGCTGATTTTCTTCAAACGTTTTGGTGCATTGTAATTCACAGAATAGAAGACAACCTCGCAGACGATATTAAGTAATCCGTTGATTCTCTGCCTACCCCGCAAGGGTTACAGGCGTGATTATAAGTATGGATCAGAAATACTATCACCACCTGTCACGCTTTCACCCTTAACTATTACTTAACTGTGGTAGAAACAGTTCTCAGTAAGCCTTATTATTAAGCCTTAGTAAAATTTATTGAACGGGAATGAATACATTTCTTATATGTGTTTATGAATAAATCGGTATTACAATAAGAAAAATTGTGAAAAATTATAAGAAAAATATTTTTTCAGAGTTCTTATTAACTGACGTATACATAGTTTAAATTGATTCCGCTAGATGTCGTTACTAGGTTTTTAAAACGCGGTAACGAAATGTTTCCTGACATGTACTTAATTCCGCGCGCGTCAACTTATAGTGCATACGGTACCTATACGCCTAAATTGTTTCTATTTCGTAGCTTATTCGACTACCTGCTTTCGATTTCGGTTGTTTGTTATTTGCTTTGTGATTTGGTTAAGGTTGAATGGATTTATATTGGCTTTCATTTTCGGATTTGTGTATTTTCTTGGATCGGTTTTGTTGATTTGGTTGGTATTCCTTTATACATATTTAGACTCTGGCTTTGATTTTGGATTTTGTTTATTTAGAATCGTGAATTGGTTTTCGTTCTTTTAAGTTGTTCAACAATATTTCAAAGGAATATTAATAGAATAGATAGTGTATACGGTACCTATACACTTACTTCTTTTTTCGTTGGTTATATTTATATTGACTACTGCTTTCGATTTCGGTTTTCTGCGATTTGTTTTGTGATTTGGTTTAAGTTGATTTGATTTTTTTTGGCTATCGTTTTCGGATTCGTGTTGTGTCTTGAATTTGTTTTGTTGTTTTGATTTTAAAAAATATTTAAAATGAATATTTATTCCTTTTAGATGTTTTGGATTTGCTTTTAAAAAAATATTTAAAAGGAAATTTATTTCCTTTTACGTATTTTAACGTTTTTTTATTAATAAGTTTTTTTTGTTACTTCATAATGCCTCGCAAACGTAAGTCCAGCCTTTCAAGAGTATCTTCTCAAAGACAAGCGAAAAGATTAGCTCGATCGCTAGAATCTTTAGAAGATGCTGAACTGAGAAGGCAAGAACAAGCAGAGCGTCAGGCTGCTTTTAGAGCATCCGAGACACCTTCAAACGTCAGCAAAGGCGTCTTGAACAGACAGAGCGTCAGGCTTCTTTAAGAGCTTCTGAAACACCTTCTCAAAGTCAGCGAATGCGTCTTGAACAGGCAGAGCGTCAAGCTACTTTAAGAGCTACTGAAACACCTGCTCAAAGTCAGCAAAGGCGTCTTGAACAGGCAGAGCGTCAAGCTACTTTAAGAGCTACTGAAACACCTGCTCAAAGTCAGCAAAGGCTATTCGAACAAGCGGAACGTCAGGCCGCCTTAAGAGCCGCGGAAACACCTGACTCAACTGCACGCAACGCAGACCCATTGAGCAAGCTGAACATCAATCTACTATATGGGCATCTGAAACACCAGAACAGACACAGGCGCGAAGAGATGCAAATGCACAGCTCCAAGCTGAACGTCGACAAAATTTTCAAGGAAACAATTGGTCGGTTTTTAATGACGCAGCATTCAATTATGATCCGTTGATTGCTTATAAAAAACACAGGTTAGTTGTTATCGGACTGATGGACAAGGTGTGTCGATTTTGCAGCGCTTTAAAATGGAAAGATGAGACCACAGGCATGTGTTGTTCCAATGGCAAAGTGTCTATTCCGTTACTTGTCGAACCAGAAGAACCTTTGAAAACTCTCTTTTTATATGATGCTAATGCGTCACGGCGCTTTTTAAACAGGATCCGGAAATATAACTTCGTCATGCTTTCAAATGACCTCCTTCGGAGTTGACCGGGAAATAATAATGCCGGGATTTTCTACACTTACGGTGCAAGGGCAAATTATCATAGAATAGGTTCACGTTTTCCAGCTGAAAACGAACAGCATAAATTTTTACAAGTATATTTTATGGGTGACGAAGAAATTGAGGCAGACCGTCGCTGCCAATTTATCTAGGGAGTTGAGAGAGACACAGTGTTCAAAATTCAAATATTCTTGCATGAACGTAACATTTTAGTCAAAACCTTGGCTTCCTTTTACACGAAAGGCACCCAACAGTTACTCACCTTGCTGTGCACTTAGAAAATGGAGAGCGTGTATATTTCACCGAAAGGAATTTCTAAGAAAGAATTGCATCACCGCCAAAAACTACACTAACAGCCTTCTTTCAACTTTGTCAAACCGACCCCTTTGCAAAAACGTTGTTATATTCTGAAGTCCCCCGCTATTATACTTGGAACACATCTAGGAAGGAGTGGAAACGCCGTATTCAAGGCGCGCCTGTTGTAAATTGGCCCGGTGTAAAGTCATCAGATGCCCTTGGTCGTGTGTATACCGTCCATGTAACTAATTTTGAATGTTTCTGTTTACGATTGTTGTTGCACCATGTTCGGGGTCCTACAGGATATAAAGACCTTAAAACTGTCAACGGTCAGGAATGCGCAACTTATAGAGAAGCATGTGAAGCTCTGCATCTTTTAGAAAACGATAATCACTGGGATGAAACCATGGAAGAAGCTGTGAGTGCAAGTCACCAGCCAAAATTAGGGATCTTTATGCAACTCTCATATCATCTTGCGGGCTATCTAATGCACATGAATTGTGGGACAAATATAAAGAATACATGGCGGAAGATATTTTGCGAAGGTTACAGCAGACACACGCGAACATGATATACAATGAACACATTTATAATGAAGCACTTGGAAAAATTGAAGATAAAGTAATGGCAATGGTAGAAAAAAAATTAAGCGACTTTAGAATGATAAGCCCTCAGCCAACAACCGAAAATGAAGTAAGTGATAAAATTTTACGTGAAACAAACTACGATATACCAGCTTTGCAGCAGCAAGTAGCCGAATTTGTACCCCGCTTACTTCCCGAACAAAAACGAGTTTTTTGTCAAAGTATTAGGACAAATTGAATCTGGAAATGGTGCACTTTTCTTTTTAGATGCCCCTGGAGGAACTGGAAAGACATTTTTGTTAAATTTATTATTAGCGCAAGTACGGAAAGATAAAAAATTGCTGTGGCCGTAGCTTCCTCCGGTATAGCCGCCACGCTGCTAAGCGGGGGCCGCACTGCACATTCTGTTTTAAAACTCCCTCTAAATCTAGCCCAGGAAGAATCGCCGATCTGCAAATTTAGCAAAAATAGTGCACGAGGTATAATGGTACGAAAATGCAAACTTTTAGTGTGGGACGAAAGTAAAATGTCGCATAAAAAATCTGTAGAAGCACTAAATTGAATGCTCCAGGATTTGAGCAGCAATACCGATGTAATGGGAGGAATGGTGGTTTTACTGGCTGGTGACTTTCGCCAAACTTTACCTGTCATTCAAAAGGGCACACCTGCAGATAAAATTAAAGCATGCCTCAAGTCGTCTATTTTGTGGAACATGGTGATAAAATTCAGTTTAACTACGAATATGAGAGTGCATTTGTATTATGATATCAATGCTGGAAACTATGCTGACACACTATTGAAAATTGGCGATGTGCGGTTGAACGGATGCTGAGGGCTGCGTTAAATTGACGAGAGATTTTTGTAATTTAGTACAGATTCATTCCGAATTAATTGCGAGCGTTTATTCAGATTTAACGAACAACATGCATGAAGACAAATGGTTATGTGAAAGGGCGATTCTTGCACCAAAAAATGAGAGCGTTAAAAAAATAAATTCAAATATATTATGCGAAGTAGCAGGAGAAATAACAGAGTATTTGTCAGTAGACACAGTTATGGACACAGAACAGAGCACTTCATATCCCGCAGAGTTTCTAAATTCTCTAGATTTGTCAGGTGTGCCCTCACATAAGCTTCAATTAAAATGAGCCGTCCCAGTTATGCTAATGCGAAATTTAGATGCTCCTCGGTTATGTAACGGGACAAGGCTGCGTGTGACACATCTTGGACGGAACATAATCGGTGCTACAATTTTGACAGACGTAGTGTAATAGTGGAGACGAACTGTCCACTATTAACAGACTCCGAGTGGTTTTCTTTAAGGTGGAGAAATGAAACTACTGTTTATGTTTATGAATGTACTGTCGAATGGGATTCGGAATGGAATATATTTTGCATCAACCTTGCCTATATTTATATGGCTGGCTTACTATTGATTTGCCAATGGTAACAATTAATATTTTGCCTAGCCAATTATATTGCTTATTTTATGACCAATGAAAACTATTTAAAATATACAATTATCTACGTTTCGTTTCCCGGCGTGAGACTTGTTTGTTGTTCACGAAGCTACGTCGCTGGACCGGGCTATATAAGACATGCAGATCGGTGCGCACGCGTAGTCGGCGGGCGGCGGCGGTGTGGAATACAGCTCCGGAACAGCAAGAGGAAACGAACTGCGGCGTTGAAGAAACGGCTCACCATTGGTCGACGGATACGTGACGATAGCGGCGTGTGAAGTCGGTGT